TCAGATGACTCTGGCTTATGTCAAGTTGACATAAAGCCAGCCAGCACAGCTATTTTGAGGAACCTTAACTGCAACAATTTAGGTTCTAGGCCTGGCAATTGTACTTCATATTTCAGCAGAGTATAGATTAGTTACTCAGGAGACTGAGCTAGGAAGGAAGATTGCAAATACGCCTGCAGAGAGAGAGAGTTCAGCCAGATCGGACAAGTTAGTGGTGCTGTGTCTCAAAAGGTAAAAAGCACTTGCCTAGGATATATGAGGCCCTAGGTGTGAGACCAGCACCCCTTGCCAAAAGTAATAAGCAGTTCCTAATTGTGTAACTAGAAAAGTGAAAATCCAATGTGGACATGTGTCTCATGTATAATGTATGGTGTGGAGGACCCAAGGTTCACAATAGTGGATGTCCATGAATAGGGAAGTAGCTGTGCTGGCTAGTTTTATGTCAATTTGACACAAGGTATAGTCACTGGAGAGGAGGGAGCCTCAGTTGAGAAATAAGAATGGGGCTATAGGCAAGCCTGTGGTACATTCTCTTAATTAGTGATTGATGGGGGAGGGCCCAGCCCATTGTGGGTGGTGCCATCCCTGGGCTGGTGGTTCTGGGTTCTATAAGAAAGCAGGCTGAGCAAGCCATGGGGAGCAAGCCAGCAAGCAGCACCCCTCCATGGCCTCTGTATCATCAGCTCCTGTCTCCAGGTTCCTGCCCTGTTTTGAGTTCCTGTCCTGACTTCCTTCAGTGATGGCATACAACATGGAAATGTGAGCCAAATCAACCTTTTCCTCCCCAACTTGCTTTTGGTCATGGTGTTCATTGCAGCAATGGAATCCCGACTAAGACAATGTGATTCTCATGTGTGACTATTGGAAGTTCCAGGACATGTGGACAACACTAGCTTTACTGGCTAAGTCTGTGAGTCTCCACCCAGGCAGGGCTCCTTGACCACACCACCAAAGTCAGGTCACTCTTGTGGATTCTTTGCTATATTTTAATTTATCCTTGCTCCATTTTTAACACATTTCATGTGTTAGAATGGTGTGCTGATACATTGTTTCTTTTTCTTTTTTTTTTTTTAAAGGTTTATTTGCCGGCAGTGGTGGCGCACACCTTTAATCCCAGGCAGAGACAGGCGGATCTCTGTGAGTTCGAGGCCAGTCTGGGCTACAGAGTGAGTTCCAGGAAAGGCTCGAAAGCTACACAGAGAAACCCTGTCTCGAAAAACCAAAAAACAAACAGAACAAAACAAAGGTTTACTTTATTTTAAACTATCTGTCTGTGTGTGGGTATGTGCATATTGAGTTCAGGTACCTTCAGAGGCCAGAGAGGGTGTTGGATTCCCTGGATCTGGAGTTACGGACAGCTGTGAGCCTGACATGAGTGCTGGGCATCTAACATGGGTCCTCCCAAAAAGCAGACTTGCCCTTAGCCACGGATCCATCTCTCCAGGCCCCCGGACTTTGTTTATAAATAAATACAGTGTGATAAAATGAAGCTGCTCGCCCTTCTAGTGGAGCTGTAACTACCCGGATAGGAGAACAGACATTGTAAAGAAACACTTGGGCCCTTTCCTTTGACTACCAGATGATTTCAACGATGAACCTCGAGAATAATTTCCTCAAAAACGCTGTCTGGGGGAAAGGAAAGGAAAAGCCCTGACTCCAGCCAGAGGAGGAGCCTGCCTCTCAGAGAGAGACTTCACAGAGTTCCGAGTCCTCAGAGCACCTTGCAGGAGAGACTGGAGCTGAGTCAAAGACGGGCCAGTGATGGGCAGGACCACACATTGGTCTGGACTGCTTAGTCCTCTCTACCTCTGCCTGTTTAAAGCTTAACCCTGATGTCAGGACACAGAAAATGGACTCGGGGGCCAGGTGTCACCAGACCCCTTTGTTTCTCTTCCCCATAGGGACACACTGAATAAATCTTCTTTTCCTGATTTTTATTATTGCTTGTCTGTTTAATTGGCATACCAGTCACAAACATTTAAACATACTGAGTATAAACAGTCTTGTTTAGACTTTCAGAGTCCAGACTTTGAGGCTAAAAACTTCTGTAGCAGAATCTTGATAAATTTATCATCCTGAAATTTAGTGGCAATTCCATGTCTTTCTTTATAGCTGCCATTTCTAAATGTCTGCAGGCACTTTTAAATATCTATTTGTGTGTGTTGGAATTCCTGGCCACTCCCCCAGCTACATGACCACAGATGCGCTGTCCAGTAGCCAAGCAAGAACCTTAGTCATCCCCGGGGCCTTATGTCCTATGCGCTGTGTGGTCATGTAATCTGTGTGCATGCATGGCATAGCTATGCGAGCCCATATGCGCATGTGCGGGCGGGGGGGGGGGGGGGAATCCATAAAAGCAGGTCACAGACCCCCCTCCTCTCTCTCTCCCTGTACAATCTTCCATAGGCATAAGCACTGCCCCGTTTCTCTTTCCCCTAATGAACTCTGACAGTGGGTTTTGTTGTGCTTCCTGGCTTTTCTCGAAAGGTAAACAGAGCCACTTAATGAATAACACAGTGCCACATAATAACTAACTGTGCGTGTGTGTGTGTGTGTGTGTGTGTGTGTGTGTGTGTGTGTGTGTGCCTGCCTGAGGGTGTGTATGTGCACTTCAGGCCTCCCACTGGAGGTCAGAAGTGCCAGATGCCCTAGAACTGGAGTTACAGATGGTTGTGAGCTGTCGTCTGACTCCTGGGAACTGAACCCAGGTCCTCTGCAAGAGCAGTCAGTATTCTGAACTGCTGAGCCATAGCTCCAGTCCCTCGCAGGCACTTAAAAAACAATTTGTTCTTCATTAAAATAGAATTACATCACTTCCCACCTTTCTTCCCGCCCCTCCCAGATACCCTTTCTCCAATTCCTCCCAGGCCCCCAATGCTCAATTTGATGGCCTTTTTTCTTTATTATTGTTACCTTCCTATAGAGGTGTATATGCATGTGCATGCACAACTATATATAAATCAACTTGCTCAGTCTGTTTTTGTTGTGTGTATATGGTTTCAAGGCTGACCACTCTACATTGGACAACTAATAAGGGGGCTCATTCCTGGGGGAGGCTAATTTTCCTTCTTCCGGCAGTCAATAGCTGCCTGTAGGTCTTTGTCTAGGGGGGGAACCGCCCCCCTCCCGTCGCCAAGTTTCTCCCTTCCATGTTAACATGTTCATTGAAATTGCCATTGTTCCAGTCTTATTTACGCAGCCATTTCTGGGAGGGACTGTTTCACAGCAGACTTCCTGGTACTCTGGCTCTTACAATCTTTCCACCCTGATCCCTTCCTCAACGTTCCCTCAGCCAAAGATACAGGAGCTGTGGTATAGATGGGTCTTTTGGGACAGGACTCCCCATGATCTGTCCATCTTGTATTGCGTTGAGGTGGGGTGTGTGTGTGTATGTGTGTGTGTGTGTGTGTGTGTGTGTGTGTGTGTGTGTGTGTGTCCATTAGCTGTAAAGAGAGGTTTCTTTGATGAGGGTTGGTAGCCACTTACACAGGAAAGGTGGCTTGCACACCTCACTGGCACTTTTAAAACTTAACACTCATCCTTTCAAAATCCTGTAAGGCAAGCACCTTTACCTCTGTTTTAAAGATGGAAAAACTGAATCTCAGAGCTGTGTCCTGCTGGGAGTTTTGCCACTGCATGGAAATATCGAAAACCAAGTTTTTGAAGGGTTTCTCCGACCGTCGCTGCCTCCTGATCCCCCTTACCACCAGTGACAGAGGGGAAGGACCTTACAGACTTTCTGACAAGAAGACACTTTCCTGGCCTTAGCTTTCCTCAGCAAGACTCATTTGCATAAGTATGTGACCTCCTCAACAATCCATTCTTACCAGTAAAACAGTCAGCTGGTTCCCTGCAATTCCAGGCCTCTTATTTCAGAGTGGCTGTTCACCCCACTGGCCGGCAGAGGGCAGCACAGGCCAGCTGATGGATGGATCAGCTAGCTTACCACAGGCCTCCAGCCTCAGCCCCCAGCGTGAAGCCTACTGAGTCCGATGCACCTGCTGGACCTCCTTGGGTTGGGTGTACACAGGTGCAACAGCTCAGGGTCCTGAAAGAAGTTGGTAACTCTCCCTCTCTTCCGGTGTACCCTGGAGATTTGACAAAAAAGTCGAGAAGATTCTGGACCACAGGCAGATTTTTTTTTTTTTTCACTAGTACCTAGCTAGAGACACCTAGTGACCTGTAACATAACTGGAGTTTGGGGTTTCCCTGCATGAACTGTGTTAAAGGACATCTTTCCAAAACAGTTCTGATCATGGCAAAGCTTTCAGTTGGCTTCCTGGGAACCATAAAAAGAGTCACAGAGGCCGGGCGGTGGTGGCTCATGCCTTTAATCTCAGCACTCAGGAGGCAGAGGCAGGCAGATCCCTGTGAGTTTGAGGCCAGCCTGGGCTACAGAGTGAGTTCCAGGACAGCCAGGGCTACACAGTTGAAAACCTGTCTTGAAAAACCAACCAACCAACCAACCAACCAACCAACCAACAAACCAAACAAACAAACAAATGTAATAGAATATTATATTAAGGTGTGCTACTTTTGTTTATGTTGCATTTGTTTAACTCTGTGAATCTGTGTTACTGTGCCTGTGTAAAACACTTGATGGTCTAATAAAGAACTGAATGGCCAATAGGGAGGCAGGAGAAAGGATAAGCAGGGCTGGCAGGCAGAGAGAACAGATAGGAGAAATCTGGGAGGAAAGATCTAGGAGCCAGAGAAGGAGGAGGACTCCAGGGGCCAGCCACCCAGCTACACAATCAGCAATGGAGTAAGAGTAAAATTTACAGATGTAAGAAAATGGGAAAAGCCCAGAGGTGAAAGACAGATGGGATAATTAAAGTTAAGGAAAGCTGGCAAGCTGGGCATTCACAACTAAGAACAAGCCTCTGTGAGTGATTTATTTGGGAACTGGGTGGCGGGCCCCTTCAAAAGAGATAAAAAGTAAAATAACAACAAACAAACAAACCAAAGGAGTTTGAGGGAACTTGGATTTCCTTGCAGCACCCGGGGGACTTTGGGAAGATCACATGTTGCTTGTTAGAGAACTCAGAACAGCAAACACAGTACAAAGCTCTGAGTCATGGCAGAGGTCACCTGAGATAGATTTTTAACTAATTTACTGATAATGTGTTAAAATGAGAAACACAACTGTATGTTATAGCCAATCATTACATCAATGCAGACCTTAGAATTAAACTGTTGTTGCTATGTTTCATTTTTGTGTCATGGAGCCCATTGGGTGGCATGCTGTGGTGGTTATGGTAATCCGGCCAGTTGAGGACATCCAGCTCTGAGGCCCTGCTTCTCTGTAGCAGGAACTTCAGCAGAGCCTCGCCTCCCTACAGGCCCGTCCAATGGTGGTGAGGCCTGTGTTTCCATGTTTGGTGTGAGAAATGGCCTCCCTGTAGGTCTTCTTCAGGAAGGAATGTGTTTCAAGGTGGAGGCTCAGGTTCTTAGAGTGCAGTTCCCAGAACCTCTTAGTAGGTCTCCGATTCACCCTCACTACATGGGTGATTGTCACACTGCAGCTCAGTTAGCCACGGTTCAGGGTGCTCACATGGCTTTGTGACGGCCATCCAGGATGGCAGATCAGGATGAAGCTTGCTGTGCACACTCCCTCTACTTGCCAGTGCTGACAGGGTACAGGACATGGTGACCAAAGGCGTGCACGTTGACAGGCCGGGCTGCCCCCGTTGTCCTGGCTTCTACACTGGCTGGCAAGATTCATCTTCAGAGAAACAGTTATGACTCAGACCTGGAGCCCTGGAGGGGACAGAAGCTGCAGACTCGGGACTCCATGGGTGGATGAGGTTTGTACCCAAAGCTGTCTTTAAAATTGCTTTATATTCCTTATGTATAAAATGCTGAAGCACAGGAGATACCCGAGAATGCAAAGAAGAAATGAATCCTGTAACTTGAAGTACACCCATTCAGTGGAATGTTGTGTGACTGACCATTCATAGTCAGGCCTTAGCTTATTTTATGATGGAGAAAAATATGAAATGTAATCTTATACGTGAAGGTTAAAATGCCCTGTGTAATACAATGGCGTATTTGTATATACACATGTGTGGTGGGTGTATGCATACCAGAATTTCACAGTGAGCATCTCCCTGGGTACAATTATGCCTTAGTCTTTCAGTTTTTTATGGTTTACCATTTTGTGACACTGTTGGGGATCTCACCCATGGCCTTTTGGTTTTGTACTCGGCCACCAGCCGCAACCCCAGTTCTTACATTCTTGAGATAGAGCCTCACTAGTCCCTAAAGCTAGCCTTGACCCTCTACATACCCAGGATGGCCTTGAATTCACAGTCATCCTTCTGCCTCAGCTTCCTGGGTTCAGTTCTAATTTGTCAATGCGCATTTGTTATTGGAGGAAAAAAACTTACTCATTTTAAAGGAATTATATGTATATATAGCTAGTAAATTAAAAAGCAAGTTTTCAGGTGAATACTTAATATAGTTTTCCAAAGTAGGGAAAGCCAAAAGAGAAAAGGGAAAAACGATGGTACAACATTAAAGTTGAATGTAGTAATGACATGGGTAGAGGGGTTCGACACAGACAGTGATTCGGGTGGTTATTTATCGTGATGACTCTGGGTGTCACTGAGGTGCTTTGACACAGTGACATGTGGTGACCACTGTGGAGATTATGGTTGTTAGCGTGAGGTGTCAGACAGAGACAGAGTCAGAGGTTGTCTGTTGTCAAGATTTCAGAAGTAGCACCAGGCTCTTGACCCTGACCTGTTGCTCCTGTTGTAAATAGTCCCAGAGCTGTGAAGAGCTTGATACAGACTGACTGGAGGTGGCTGTTGTGATGACCCTGGTTGGGAGGTTAGCTACTGCCCCGGGGGTGGGGAAACAGCAGGAATGGGTGACGTCGGTCACCATAGCCACATTCTAGACCTTCTGATGGAGCATCATCTGTGTGGGTGGTACAAAGTAGGTTTGCGCTATGAGGAATGGGGCTGAGGACAGAGGCGTTGACAGAGTCTCACTGAGTCACAGTCAGAGGTAATGTGGGCTGAAGCCGGGAGTCTCCTCTTGCAGTTTTCCATCGTTGGCTTCCACCGGCTAAGCCCCACCAGGTACCATTTGCGCAGGGAGTTTGTCAGCATTCTGTACACCACAGAGGAGGCAGGAAGGGTGTCTAAGTGGTCTGCGAGCGAAAGACGAACAAGGCTATGCCCTCCGCTAAGCCATCTCTGAGCTCCATTGCGACCACAGACCTACTCAGTGGCCAAGAAGGAGGCTTTCATCTGCCCACCACTGAGCTTCCTGGCAGGAGCTGCCGGGCTGGGCTTCCTGGGTTCCAGAGACACCAAGGAGCTTCTTCTGCCTGCGTGCCTTCTTTCCATACCGCAGCACGCCGGGAGATACCGCTCGAGCCTCTCCGTGTCACCAGCCGCTGACAACTAAGGTCCCCGTTCCCAGGACTATCTCCCGGTGACGTCAAGGGGCTGAAGTCCCAGATCCGTGAGAAGTCACTTCCAAGAGGCCCATGTAGGAGTCCCGCCGGCCCCTGCGCCCTGGTCACGGTCCTGCGGTTCATGCGCGCTCGGACTCCGCATCCAGATGTGACTCCGACCGGGGTTGTCCACAAAGCAGCGTGCAGTCCACAAAGCAGCGTGCAGACTGCAAGCTGCGGAAGTGCACGGGCCGCCAGGATCCAACGTTCAACCTGGAGCCTCGCTCAGCAACCACCCTCCGTGGGGGCCGCCGCCACTCTCCTTCCCGCGCGGGGAGGCGGAGCGCTCCGGCCCGGCGCCGAGAGAAGGCGCAAGCGCGCCTGGCGCGGGGAGCGGTGCATGATGGGAGGCGCGCGCTTTTGCCGCTTCCGCGAAGATGGCGGCGCCGTAGTCCGGGCGCGGGATCCTGGGGCGCGGGGGAGGCGGCGGTACGCAGTCCCGGCGCGGTGATGGCGACCCCGGATCAGAAGTCGCCCAACGTTCTGCTGCAGAACCTGTGCTGCCGGATCCTGGGCCGGAGCGAAGGTACGCGTGGCGGGGCTGAGGGCAGGGGAGGCTGGACGCCGTGACCCCCGGCCGGCCCGGGTAGCTGTTATCCCTGGCCGCGGGGAAAGGAAGGGGTGCGGCTCGCGGGGTGTCCCTGCCCCCGGGGGCCAGGCCCTGAGCGGCGGTGCCCGCCGGGTCCACACTGCACGGCGGCCCGCAGCTCTGCCTCTGCGCGCTTCCCTCTCTGCTGTCACCTTTGCCGCTGGTGGTGATGCTCGCTTATTCCAGCAGAGTGCAAGCCGCGAAGGACGCTTCTAAGAAGCCGGACCTCAAGGCGCTTCTGCCCACTTCGACCCGAACTGTAGCCGTGGGAGTCAGTCGCGGTGGGGAAAGAGGTCCAGGATCTCGTCTCTTGAAGCTCATTTTGTAAATGAGTGGGGACGCGTCGCTGAGGGAACGTTGTAGTAATTGACCTGACTGGCTTATTTTGCTCCTTATGCCTCAGGATGTAAGAGAGAATTCGCCCGGGTTTTCAAGGAAGACTTTCAACAAAATTGCATTTTAAGAACTGAGAGGGCCTTTTGATCTTTCATAATTTGTAACAACCTATGTAACAACTTGTCAGGGCAGAGAATGAATTTATTTGTGTCACTGCTAAACTATTGACTTAACACAGTTTTTTTGCTTTAGACCTTGCAGTGTTTTTTATTCATGAAAAAAAAAATCTTTGAAGCCTCGTCGCCCCGGTTATGCCAAAGGAGATGTTCCTACTGTCTAGTGGGGAGGAATGTGACTGGTGTGTTGGTGAACAAATAGTGTATATAAGTAATAAACGCTGTGGGGAAAAGGTAGGGTGAGCAGATAGAAGGAGCTTAGGGGGAAAATAAGTCTCCAGGAATTGAAGCAGCTATCCTAGCGATCCAGTAAGAGTGAGGGAGGGTCACTCCAACGCCTGGGGAGAGTGTGAGTTGAGGGGACAGTTTACCTTTCTGATTGAGTGTCCCAATCATAGGCGAAATCAGATAGCTAAGGTTGCAAGTTATGACTTAATGCACCATAGCATTATTTTTCCTTTATTGCATTGGGTCCAAAAATTTTACCTTTCAGGAAGAACCTCATAGTTATAACTGAATTTTGAAATTATTCATTATGAATTTCTAAATTTGATTTTTTTTTTTTTACATGAAGGTCCCTTTTGATTGATGGACGTTTCACAGCTTACAGGTGATTCTGAGCAAAATTCTGTAGCCTCCCATTCCCCCCATTTATAATTACATCTGAGTTGGGAGTCACTGGTTTCTGAGATACAGGGTAAAATATTTCATAAAGCTCACTCAAGATGATGCTGACTTTGCTGTGGATGGAGTTGAGGGTTGCTGAGTGGACTAGGCTCTCTGTCCGCACACACTTGGTTGGAGTTCTGTCCTGGTCTGACAGGTGTGGGTGAGCATCTTCTCACGACTTCTCGTTTGGACATTGGGTACCTTCCTAAAACTGTGATTGGTTTTGTTCTCTCCCCAGCATTTGCTCATGTTCTTCCCAAGTTGCTTCTTCCACACTTAGAATTTTGAGTGTTCTTTATGTCTCTGGGTACAAGTCCTTTGTTTTGTGTTTTGAAAACTTCCCCCGCCCCCCACTATTTTAACTTAATAGTTGTTTTCTTTGAAGAGCAGAAATTTTCATATTTTTAAAAGTTTTTTTTTGAGATTAAAAAATATGCGTATAGGTATTTTGCTTGCATGTCTCGGTGTACACCATGTGTATGTACTGTCCGCAGAGAACAGAGGTGGGTGTGGGATCTCCTGGAATTGCAGGTGGTTGTGAGCTGCCGTGTAGGTGCTGGGAATTGGATCCTGGTTTTTTGGAAGAGCAATCAGTGTTCTTAACTGTTGAGCCCCCCAGTCCTGATGAATTCCAATTTGTCCATATCAGAAAGGGGGAGGGGCAGGGAGCTAGCTCAGCAGGTGAAGAGCTTGCTCTACAGTCTCTGGGACCCATGCAAAAGCCTTGCACGGTGGCAATGCATTTGTACTAACAGCTCTACTAAGGCAGCATGGGGGGCAGGGACAGGGGAATCATCTGGAAGCTCAAGAACCAGCTAGTCTGGAGTCTGCTGCTGCTCAGTGATAAAAACAGCAAGAGAGACTGCTTCCTCACAAGGTGGGAGGCGAGGACAGACTCCTGAGAGTAGCCCTTTGATTTCTACATGTATGCTGCCCCTCAACTCCATAAATAAGAGAAAAAAATGTTTTAAAATGATGATTTTGGTGTCATGTGAAGAACTGTTATCAAGTCCAAAATCATAAAGATTTCTTTCATCTTTTTCCCTAGGAGAGGTTATATTATATTGTTATGTGTGGTAGGAGTTAGATTTTTGTTATATGGTACAAGTTGAGATTCATTTTTGAGTTTACCAAAAGAAACCTCTTCCCCCAACTGTACTTGTTTTATTCTTGTCTTGAAGACTGAAAGTGTTGAAATGGAGCTTTAAAGAATGTTGATAGCATGGGCTGCTCCAGACCATCTGTGAAGGGGAGGGCCTCATGTCAGTATGGTTTTCAAAAGCACCTAATGTTTTAGAGTTTTTTAGATTTACAAGAAAATCATACACACATAGTTCTCCTTTGCCCAACACCATCTCTTCTGGTCTTAGCATCTTGCTTAGTGAGGTGCACTGTCACAGTTAATAATAATACATAGGTATTACTGATGCAGAAACACAACTCTCACTTCAAAGGGAGTAAGAGGCAATTTATTTTGGAGGCAAACACAAGTGACTATGATCTGGGAACATAGATTTGGGTTACCCCAATGCCTTGTCCCAGCATGGTCACAGTTTTATGAAGTTTAGTGACAATAAAATCATACGTCAAGGTGCTTTTTGACTGTTTTGGAGTGAACATCAGGTGGGCAGGTTACAGCAAAGTGTGGAGTCTGTTACTGGCCTCAGCTACTATTTGATGACATTCTCATCTTAGAGTTGTTGGAGGCTGGGGTGCTCTACATTTCAAGACTCTTACCTAATAGTCACAAGGATGGATGCTAGGTCAGACACAGAGGTGAACAGTGAATGGCCTTTAAGAGGGCTAAGGATAGATGGCCAAGACAGCTTAGCTCCAGACCGGCAACATCCTACCTGTGCGTAATCACAGAAATTCTGATTAATCATCTGTAGAGTCTTTAACACAGGGGTGACTTTTCTGGGCATTTCAGTTCACAGTATTGACCAAGCTCTATGCTTTTTTGGCTTGCTCAGGTGTGGCTTACTCCTTAGGCCTTCTTCTAGCTTGAGGCCTCCATGTTCTTATTCTTCAGGTCTCCTTGGGCTCCTCCGGGCTTCTTGGGACATTCTTGATTTTTGTTTTTTTGGTGAGCTTGGCGGTTTTGAAATTTAAAGTTTATTTTGTAGACTTGTTTGACACGTTTCCCATGGTTAGATGGGATTCTATTTGGGGATGAAAACCATAGTGCCATTTTCATCGAGTGGCAGCCAGCACAGCATGGCTGTCGCTGTTGATGTTGGTCTCGACTGCCTGGCTTGTGCGTCTCCACTCTGGAAGCAGCTCTCCCTCACGCTGACCAAGGAGCTCGGCTTTTATCCTTGAGTGGGTGTTTCCACATGAATATTAATATTAGATCTCCTTTCAGATTTCTGCAGCGTTAGTGCCACTCTCCCATCTTAGTGTTATTATTTCTTAATGCGTACTTTCAGTTAGTTGTTCTGTGTTACAGATTTTATTGTATAAACTAAGATTATTGACTTCAAGTCTGTCTAATATGTCATATTTTCATTTTCAAAATTATTTTCAATTTTTAAAATTTTCTTGGGATATGTATTATGAATTGATTGCCTCAAAATACTTGGTGTTCTGGGTAGTTCTGTGTCAATTTGACATATGCTGTAGTTGTTTAAGAGGAGGGAACCTTGATTAAAAAAAATGCCTCTATAAGATGGAGCTGTGGGCAAGTCTGTAAAGCACTTTCTTAACTAGTGATTGATGTGAGAGGGCCTAGACCATGGTGGGTGGTGCTGTCCCTAGGCTGGTGGTCCTGGGTTCTATAAGAAAGCAGACTGAGCAAGCCAGTAAGCAGCACTCCTCCATGGCCTCTGCATCAGCTCCTGCCTCCAGGTTCCTGTTTGAGTCCCTGCTCTGACTTCCTTTAATGATGAACAGTGATGTGGAAGTGTAAGCTAAATAAACCTTTTTTCCTCACCTTGCTTTTGGTCATGGTGTTTGATCACAGCAATGGAAACCCTAAGATACTTGGTGATTTTTCAGATTTGATACTGATTTCTAGGTTAATTCTGTTAGTGTTGAAAAATATATGATGGCTAATTGCAGTTACTTAAAAAAATCTGTGTGTGTGTGTGTGTGTGTGTGTGTGTGTGTGTGTGTGTAGAGAGAGAGAGAGAGAGAGAGAGAGAGAGAGAGAGCGAGAGAGAGAGAGCGCACTAGTACACATGTTCACTCATGTATGAGAATGAGAGCACATGCATGTGTGGAGATCAGAGGACAACCTCTGTTCCAGTCCTTGCCTTCCCCTATTTTTGGAACAGGACCTCTTGTTTGCTTCTGTGTCCACTGACAAGGTTAGTTGGCCCAGAAGCTTCCCTTTTCCCTCCCTTCCTCTTCCTCTCTGTATGCAGCTTTGTTTTGTTTTGTGCACTGTCCTCAAATGTCTGATGGTATTTTAGCATGAAGATGGACAGGTGCCCTGCTTCTTCGTGGAAGAACTGTTGGGGACCTGGCTGCTTGCCGGGGGCATCACCTGCTCTTGTCTTTCCTCTTCTTGGCTTCTTTAGTCTCTGAGGTCAGCCCTGACTTTGATCACTACTCTTTCCTGATTTGCTGTGTGCTGTGAGGTTTGCCTGGATGGTCAGTGGCTGTCAGGAGGACTGGGATTTGGGCAGGCTTTGGCTCTCCCTCCACATGTGCAGTGCCTTCTTTTGCTGAGCTTCCCTGGGCTCCTCTAAAGTGAGGAAGTACTGGACCAAAGCAAGACTGAAAACCAACAGAGTAAACTCCAAATTCTGCATCTCCATGTCTGATGTCAGTGGGCTCTTCAGTTCTCCACCTCCTCTCTGCAACACACTTCTTTCTCTTAGGCTGCTTTCACTCTCTGTTAGCAGCCTTCCTTGGTTGGTATTCCACAGCTCTGGTGTTTCCAATGTTTTGAGGTCTCCAAGGCAATCCAAGCTTTACCTTCACAGCTTCACATAATGGTCTCCCTAGGCCTGCATTCAGGGACACCCCTGACACATGCCTGGCTGCAGAAGCTCTCCTGAGCTGCAGAGGGAAATTCCACAGTCCTTTCTTCTGTCTTTGACTCTGAAGCCGGAACCACATGACCGAAGCTGTTGCTTTGGAAGTTCTTCTGCTTTCTAGGACTGGAACTTGATCTTCCCTTGTTCAAATAAATTTTCACCAGCTTTCTGTTTTCTTCACTGTTTGAGCTTTCTTTAATTCCTTTCCACAAGTTTGAAGCTTGGCTGGTTGGGGTTTTGCCCTAAGATTACCGCTCCCCTTATGTCATTTAGCATCAAGCTTTTCATCTCCTTGAATATTGGACTTAGCTCATCACACTTCCTGGTGCTCCTTTTCTCCTCAAACTGTACATTTTGTATTTTTCCTTGCTCAATGAGCTCCTTTTCTTTGTAAATCTGCGTAAGAGTGGCCACTAATAACCACATGACACAGTCAATACTAGATTGTCTTGAAATCTCCTCTGCCAATGCCATTAATCTAAAACTCTTTTATTTACCTTTAGGCAGATTTTTAGGATGAGGGCAAAAAGCATTCTTTGCCAAAATATAACAAGGATGATCTCTAGGCCCCTTACTAATATTCTTCTCTGAAACCTCTTGAACTGAGCTACCGTAATCTTAATTTCTCTCATGACCACTGTCTTCCATGCTCCTACTAGTATGGCCCATTAAACCCTACTTAAAGCATTCGACTGCTTTCCTAGCCCAAAGTCCGCATTCTGCCAATATTATGGTTAGGCCTGTCACAGCAATACCCCACTACTGGTACCAAATTCTGTCTTAGTCAGTGTTCTATTGCTATGAAGAGACACCATGAGCATATCAACTCTTATAAGGGAAAGCATTCAATTAGGGCTTGCTTACAGTTTCAGAGGTTTAGTCCATTATCAGCATGGCTGTGTGCAGGCAGACATGGTGTGGGAGAAGGAGCTGAGAGTTCTATATCTGGATCCACTGGCAGCAGGATGAGTCAGAGCCACTGGGCCTGGCTTGAGCATCTGAAACCTCAAAGCCCACCCGCAGTGACACACTTCCTTCACTAAGGCCACACGTCCTAATCCCTCTCAGGTAGCACCACTCTCTGGTGACCAAGCTTTCAAATCTGTGAGCTTATGGGGGTCGTTTCTGTTCAGACCAGCACAGAGATAACGTGAGACTTTGAGGACAAAGCGTAGAAGGGTGTGGCTTAATGTGATATGTTTGTGTCATGTTGGCAAGAGGTGAAATTGTGATGATTAGTTTTAATTATCACCTTGACTCTAGAATCACCTGGAAAGGTGGTCTCAATGAGAACTTGTCCAGGTTGGCCTGTTGGAATGTCCATAGGGAGTTACCTTGACTTGGTGGCAGTCCTGCCTGCTGTGGGTGTCACCGTTCCCTGGGTGCCTGCTGTGGGTGTCACCGTTCCCTGGGCAGAGGGTCTTGGGCTGTCTGAGAGTGTAGAGAGGGAGCTGGGCTCCTGCATACTATTTTCAGTTCATCACTCTCTTGACTGAATGAATGATATGTGACCGGCTGGTTCACGTTGCAGCCCTTGGACTTCCTTGCAGTGATGGAGTAACTCTGACTTGTGAGTTGATAAACCCTTTCCCGCTTGAGTGGCTTCTGTCAGCGTGTCCTCCACAGCAACAGAAAGAGTTCCCACTCCCCTCCCCGTCCTTGCAGACATTGGGTCTCCAGTTTGATCATCCTGGAGAGAGTGTCGCCTACCCATCGCTCTCCAGTGTTTCCCTCTGACTTCTCGTCTGTTGGTGAATTTATGTCCTCTTATTTAAATGCTTCATTCTGAGTTTTGTGTGTTTCTTTAAGGAAGCAGAGGCAAACCTGTGCTGTAACATAGACTGTAGAAGTGTGCACATGAACTCTGCCCTTCCTTCCTGGGAGCTGCTCAGAGGTTTTTGACCACGCTTACTTTCTAAGCCCTCGTCTGGCCTCTGCCTTTAATCGCTCCTTTTAAAATAGCTGTCTGTCCAGTTTGGTTTTCCTTCAGGATTCTTCTGTGTCTCTGCTGTCTTTTCCCATCTTTTATGGAACGCTTTCATTCTGTCGTTGATTTCATTGGCTTTTCTGTCCTTTCAGTTAGGACTGGGAAAGTGGCTTGTTCTCTTGACTTGGCTCTGCGGATGGAAACTGTCGGGCTGTAACTTCACCCTTTGCTCACCTTGCAGCCGATGTCGCCCAGCAGTTCCAGTTTGCCGTCAGGGTCATTGGCAGCAACTTTGCTCCGACCGTTGAAAGAGATGAATTCCTAGTGGCTGAAAAGATCAAGAAAGAACGTACGTATTTTTCTTAACTGTTACCTGTTGGATTATGAAACTTGTGGAAACTTAAGAATTCCTATGTGACATGGGTATGTGCATGCTCATGTGTGTATCTACATGTATTTATGTATGTATACCAGTGTGTATTTGTATGTGTATTCATATGCATTTGTGTGTGCACATGGATATACACATGTGTGTATGAGTCTGTTTATGGATGTATTCACGTGTGTATGCATGTGCATATGCGTGTATGCTTTTCTCAAGCACGTTTTAATTATAGATACTATTAAAATAAGGACAGTTCAATTTTGTCTTGGCGTTAAAATTATTGACATATAGTGGAAGTCTATTTTAAATGTGTCAAGACACTGCAGTTTAGTTTTAGAATACGAAAGATAAAAGGCCTCGCTGTCCCTTCTTGCCTCCCTGATTTCCAGTGTCTAACGTAACAGCTAACCGCTTTCTGCGAGGCGTCACTGCTTCTTCAGTGTTACCGGCACAGTTTCAGTACGTCAGAACTGTGTGAGCATTTTGCTCCTCCTCAGCGGTGGCACCTTGGAGAAGGTTCTCCACTCATGACATTCGCTTTGGTATTAGTGGTTGGGCTGGGTGAGGTTGGCTCTGCCGCCCCTCTCAGCCTCTGGAGTGTTTGTGGAGTCTTGGCTCTGAGTGGCAGGCGGTCTTCAGCAATCTGTGGGAGAGCTGTTTTGGTCCTGGGTGGGAGAGAATGCTTTGCTGGTGTGCTAGCATGCCGCAGTGGGAGCCTTTCAGTGGGATTGAAAAACCTGCCTTCGATAGTAGCAGCTTCTTCCTACTGGGGCCTACTGATAAACTGCCCAAATGAAGTGGGCTTTGATTTTGTTTCTAAGTCAAACTGCATGGGCCAGTGATCTGTGTGGATGTGATCTTTCGGAGCTGTAACACAGAGCTGAGGAGTGTTGGCTGGTGACAGATCTGAGGCTGATGTGACGCAGTGGTCACACTACAGTGTTCACCTGCAGTGGTCACCCCCACAACATGCACCTGCAGTGGGCACACACACCTTCAGTATGCACCTGCAGTGGGCACACATACCTTCAGCATGCACCTGCAGTAGGCGCACACACACCTACAGCATGCACCTGTAGTAGGCGCACACACACCTACAGCATGCACCTGCCGTGGTCACACCCACAGCATGCACCTGCCGTGGTCACACCTTCAGCATGCACCTGCAGTGGTCACACCTTCAGCATGCACCTGCCTTGGTCACATACATCTACAGCATGCACCTGCTGTGGTCATACCTTCAGCATGCACCTGCAGTGGTCACACACATCTACAGCATGCACCTGCAGTGGTCACATACACTTACAGCATGCACCTGCAGTAGACACACCTTCAGCATGCACCTGCAGTGGTCCTCTTTGTCAGCCGCTTTACTTTCTTGGTTTTAAGTTATCCATGGTGAACTATGGTGGGAAAATACATCCCAGAAACAAGTGATGCATAAGATCTAAATGACCTGCCACCTTAAGGAATGTGTTGAAGTCTTGTGCCACTCCACCCCTTCCTGCCTGGTCTAGTAATCATCTCTGTTTACCTGTCCATGCTTTGTGTGCTGCCCACCTCGTCCCGTTAGTCATGTAGCTGCCCTCTCAGTCACTAGAGTGAGGGTTGTGTTATTAGTGCCCGGTGTTTCTCAGAGTCCAGGCTGGCTTCAAACTTGCCACCATGCTGAGCTACCTTGTTTTTCTTAGTGGCCCCAAAGTGTAAGGATGCTGAATGCTGTAAATCAGACATGCTGAAGAAAATAAGAAAATTCCTGAGAGGTACTGGTGGAGGTTTCAGACGTCCCCCAGGGCTCTAGGACCTGAACTCACTAGTAAATAAGTAGAAGAGTAACCGTGGGGTTTTAGCCTGTTACTCAATATTGAGACTTCCTTTCCTTTTATGCGTGTCTAGTTCCCATGTCAGTGTGAACTCTTTCCATGAGCTCCAAACGGCTTACATTCTAGATTCCCACCCAAACCCTGCCTGGTGGGTGTCCTGCAAACATATTTTCCTTAGTGAGTTCGATCTCATGGGCTCCTGGTGAGCTCACTGCCAGTGTGTGTCATAGCCGTGTCATCCTGTAGATTGTCAGGAAGTCACATAATGGGTTTTTCTTAGGAAACTGGTGGTGTACAGTTTCCTTAAGAAAAAACCTGTGAGCCATGAACGTGTATGTTGCTGGTTTAGGGATGTGCGTATGGTGTGCCACAAGCAAGTGTCCTTTTGCTCTTCTTGTCTTGAGTGACACTTGCCCTCACTTCCTGTGGTCCTCTTGTCTGTTGCTGTGTTGGCCTGTCACGTATGAGTTCTCAGGCATTTGAAATTTGATTGTGGTTGTTGGCATCTTAGACTATTTGAGTTATAGTCAGTCTGTCCTCTAGAACACCACAGGAAATTAATTTTCCATTTGCCATGGCTGACTTCAAGTGTAAGATACCAGTGAGTTTTATATTGAAACCCATTACAGTGCGGGCATGCAGGGGAGCGTTCAGTTAGTCCCCTCATCTCTCACACCAGCAAAGTAGAGTGCATTGTAACTCAGGACTCTACCTCTGCTCAGCAATTTTGAAGGGTTCGATCTCAAGTAAACTATGTTTACTTGTAAATAGTTGCTTCCTGTATGACTGTGCTATAACAGTTTTCAACCTCACTAAGAACATCAATTGCTTAATGTCATGACTGTATTTATTTGGAGTCCATTTCTTTTGTTGTTTTTTAAGACAGGGTTTCTCTGTGTAACAGCTCTGGCTGTCCTGGAACTTGCTTCGTAGGCCAGGCTGGCCTCAAACTCCACCTGTCTCTGCCTCCGAATGCTGGGATTAAAGGTGTGCGCCACCACCTGGCCATTTCTGTTGTTTTAAAGGTAGTGATTGTGTTCCATCTTGCTAGGATTGGTTTTATTGGCTTTATTTGTGTTCTGTCTCTCCGTGGTTCGCTGTGTCCTCTGTAGGAAGCTGAACAACAGCTGTGGCTTGGATTACATTGTCTCTGTGAATTCATGAAACCCTAGATAACCCCCCCTCCCTCTGTCCCTCCCTCCCTCCCTCCCTCCTTCCCTCCCTCCCTCCCTCCGTCCCTCCCTCCCTCCAGGTAGCTGTTAGTAAGTAGTAGAGTTGGTGATAGCTTGCTTCACTGTGGATCAGTATTTGTAGACAGACCTCTCTTTGTGCCAGCCTGATAGACTCCATGTTTTACATGCACAGAAGGGCTAGGTGAGCTGATCAAACTGATATTGCTAAAAGTCTCCTGGTTCTGTTCTTTAAATTCTTGGGCTCAGGGTTCTTTTCAGCACTTCCCAGTCTGTTAGCACAGAAGAAATGATTTCCTAACGTTGACTCTCAGTGTGTGCAGCTAATGGGCTCAATTCTTTTTCTAAATTTTCAGTTATTCGACAAAGGAGAGAAGCAGACGCGGCGCTGTTCTCAGAGCTGCACAGAAAGCTTCATTCGCAGGTATGGTGGAGGGTTTGGGGTTCTGTGACTGGGGAATGGCTTGGGAATGCTTGGGGGTCCTTGGGTGCTGACTTCTCAAACACCCCTGTAATCACTAATGGCTTGTAGTTGTAGAGAGCGCCTCCTCTTAAGAGGGCCAGGGTCAGAACTAAGTGTTGTTCAACTTCCCGTTAAACCTGTGATGTGTCCTGTGGGTGGGAATTGGGCTCCGGTTGGCACTGCGGTTGCTTTGATGGCATTGCCAGGAGCAGGCATGCTGGTGGACGTGCAGGCCTGTCTCCACCGCAGCAGAAACTCCCATGGCTGATACAGTTATCTGTGAGCAGCTCATTTTATTGCTGTAGTGAATAACGGAAAGGAAAAAAAGTTTTGAACCCTTTGCAATTAGATACTGGTATTTGAAAATTGTCCTAATCTAATATTTTGATAAAGATTTGTCAGCCTCTCTCAAAAAACTCCTTGGACCACAAGGTGAGATTTTGTGATTTCTGACCACCCAGTTCACCCAGCTGTCTCCCTCCTTCTGTAGAGAGGACTAGGGACCCAGAGTTGAACGTTTGCTCCACAGGTCTGTCAGCCTGAGACAGTGCAGGGCCCAGGACTGTGGAGTCTGAGCTTGTTCACGGTCCCCAGCCCTCGTCTCTTTGGGCCCTGAAGTGTTTGCCGAGAGGTCCGGTTCCTCAGTGCATTTGACTGCCTGGTTTGCTGCCTTGGGATCCCTCTCGGTCTCGGAGAGTGCTTACCAAGTCAGGATGAAAGCTTGCGTGCAGGCTGTCCCCAGGGAATGCTTTCTTCAGTCTTCCTCCCCGTGAATGGCTTCTGCATTTGAGGTGTGACAAAGGGGTTTAATGTGCTGTGGTTAGGGAGCTTCTTGGCCTTGCTGGGGTTAGTTTTCTGCGGCAAAACCTGTGTGTCTAATGCTGTGGCCACTAGGTGGAGGTGTACTTGGGAAACTGAAATTTAGGAAGGTTGTTTTCTAAAAGTTTATTTGAGACTCTGTTTATTCCTATGCTTGCTTGCCTATCTGTCTGTCTATCACCTATCTACCTATCTATCATCTGTCTGTCTGCCATCTGTCTACCTATCATCTGTCTATCATCTGTGCATCTATCATCTATCTATCTGTCTATCTATCTATCTGTCTGTCTGTCTGTCTGTCTGTCTATCTGTCTATCTATCTATCTGTCTATCTGTCTATCTATCTGTCTGTCTGTCTGTCTGTCTATCTATCTGTCTGTCTATCTGTCTGCTGTCTATCTGTCTATCTATCTGTCTGTCTATCTGTCTATCTATCTATCTGTGTGTCTATCTGTCTATCTATCTATCTATCTGTCTGTCTGTCTGTCTGTCTGTCTGTCTATCAATCAATCAATCAATCAATCAATCAATCATGTCTCTCTCTCTCTCTGCCTTCCTACCTACCTACCTACCTACCTATCATCCATCCATCTCTCTCTCTCTATCTACCTATCATCCATCCATCTCTCTACCTACCTATCATCCATCCATCCATCATCTGTTTTGTGAGATGGTCTTTAACCAGGCTGTGCTGAAACTTACTATGTGGCCCATGTTGGCCTAGAGCTCACAGCAGTCCTCCTGCTTCAGTCTCCCTTGTTCTGGGATTACAGGTCTAAGCCACCTCATCTAGTTCCTAAACATCGTTTTAAATGGTGACTGGCTTCCCACAATGCACAGCTAGCCCACAAAAGCAACCTAGTCGAATTTTTCATTCTGGAGATGAACCATGTTTTCAAACCTATGAGACAGTGGCTTAATACTAAAGCAGGAGGTATGTCCAGATAGTAGCCGTTCCATCTTTTTGTTTTAAAAACAAAAACCAGCCCTTCAAAGTACAGAGGTCATTGATACTATTTTGTCCTGTTTTCTGATCAGTGAGGGTGTCTCATTTGCTGTGTATGCCACGGGGTGCCCTGGGAGGAAAGGTCCAGGGTGCACAGTGTTTTCAGAGCTAGAGCAGGGAGGATCCAGGTGTGGTGTAAGGCATTGGGGTTCCGAGCTGAGTTCCCGTGTGGCCCGGAGCAAGGGCAGCAGCTTGTCTGGGGACTGCAGCACAGTGTGCAGCCGGGACTTGACGAGACAGGGATAGGCCTGGGCAGCTCCTGTGTGCGTGAAGTGTCAGGTACCACGGGAGGCTGCCCAGTAAGCACGCACTCCTCAGACACCTCTGTTTTCATAGTCCTCCACTTTGGGATGTTGTTTGTCTACACTTAACATCCAGCTGACACCTGGGGCATGAAGCTGTGTGTCTGTGTGAAGGCCCTTACCTGGCGGGAATCTGGGGTGGCTGGTTCTGAGGGTCAGCTATGGTGAGCTCAGCCCTCAGCACCGCTGGCATGGTTGCATTTAGTATTTGTTCTCCCAGGTTGATTGCTTGCTCCCCTCTGGCTTCAGCTGGCACTGGCTGTGGTGCTGGTGAGGTAGCTGGGTGGGGAGGATGGAGACTGAGGGTGAACAGTGACTCCTGAGCTAAATGGAGCCTTCCTCCTGTTTCTTGTCTGTGCCTCTGTCTGTCCACACATGTCTGTAGCCAGCCTGCCTCTCCCTTTGTGTTGTCCATCGCCATCATGACTCCCCGCAGCAGTCCTTGTGTCTGCCTCCACCGACTGTTGAAGCCGGTGGCCAGGTTCCAGTCTGGTCCTCACTCAGCATCGCGAATCTGTTTGCTCTCGGTTCCTCGTGGGTGGAGAGTCTTAGGGCGTCATAGTGATGACGGAAGTGGTGCACACAGAGTGCTTGGCCCTGTGGGTATTTCTGAATGGCAGCTGCTGCTATTGACTGACAGAAATGGAACCCAGGGAGAGTCTGTGTGGGGCAGACAGAGCTTGACTGCCGGCCCAGGGCCTGGGTAGGTCACTGAGCAGCCTGGCTCCTTTCCTCCATGTCCTCCTTCCTTGTGTTTGCAGTGTCCTGGGTCCCCAGTGCTGGTCCATGGGCCTGGTTAGGCCTTCTACTCCTCATGGCTGGATTTCTAGAGATTCCTCTACATGTGTAATTTGCCTCCATGTTTGTTTCTACTAGGAAAATGAGATGCTCACCGGGGTGGGGCTCTCTCCATCCTTGTCTTCTCTTTTCCATAATACTCTCCTCTGCTCTAAATGAGACATTAATTAAGAAAAACAGTTCGCTTTCATCCCCCTGAGACAGTCGCAGTATGTACGCTTAGCGGCCTGAAACTCTCCGCGTTGATGAAACTGGCCTCGAACCCACAGAGATCCACTTGTCTCTGCGTCCTGAGTGCTGGGATTATAGGTGTCATCATGGCCAGCTTAATCTACAGGTGTTGATAATATTTCTTTATCACCACGGTGCTTGCTAAGTTTTATTAATCCAAAGCAGGGTAACTTAGGGATTTGTTTCCAGGGAGTTAAGGACCTGGGGGTGTTGGTTACAGAGTGTTGCTCCCAGCCTTCTGAGGAGTAGTACCATTTTATGATGCATGAAGTGAGCTCAGATTAAATGTCCACAGGTGAATTTTAAAATGTTTGTCTATGTTGAAAATAAGTATAAATAATAAAACAGGAAAGGTAATAGCTCTTGTAATATTTTTAATCTAAACAGGGAGTTTTGAAAAACAAATGGTCAATCCTCTACCTCTTGCTGAACCTTAGTGAGGATCCTCGCAAGCAAACCGGCAAGGTGGGTGAGCGGACCTCAGCCGTGTCTTGTGGGACAGTTATACCATGTTTTCATGGGGAGGAAAATAATAGGAGAAAAGCAAAAGCCTGCTAAGCCTGGAAGTCGAGTTGTTTCTTCATTCCCAAGGGCAGTTTCTGGGAGATGTGTTGGAAAGTTGTGTTATTCTGATGTAACAATGCATTGAGCAGCCCAGGTTGTTAAAGAGTTGACACCATGAAATCAGGGTCATCTGAGCTGGGAAGCCACGGGCGGTTCTCCTGCTTCCAGGAGTTGGGAGCACAGGTCACTGTCATATCAGTGGCTTCCTGCTGTAAATCCCTGTGCTCTTCCCACTACAGGGTCTAGTACAATAGAAAGGTCTGCAGGGGTTTGGCTGGCAAGAAGTCGAGGAGTGTGGGTGCAGCGTGTGTTCCAATCTCCTCGATATGTAGCAGTGATAGACTTGTAAACCTGTTTGTGTTTTCTGTTGGAGTTCAGAGAACACCTAATCCTGTCAATTATAACCGTTCAAAAGCATCTCCGTTGACTTGCTTGAATAAGTGTGAAATTCAAATCCAATTCCAGAAGTAGCATGGTGATAGGAGTAGAAAGGCCCGAGGGCAAGCCGTTCTGCAGCTTCTCACCTGTGCGTTCTTGTGCACTTCATTTCAGATAACTAGCTATTCTTCGTTATTTGCACAAGCGTTACCAAGGGATGCTCACTCGACACCTTACTACTATGCCAGGCCTCAGACCCTCCCCTTGAACTACCAGGACCGCAGCACACAGGCACAGAGCTCCGGCAGCTTGGGCAGCAGTGGCATCAGCAGCATCGGCATATGTGGTCTCAGTGGCCCCACCCCTGTGCAGCCTTTCCTCCCTGGGTAACTTGAGCTCATATGCATGTACACACACACACACACACAAACACACACACACACACACACACACACACACACACGACATGATAGAACCAGTAGAATCCAGGGGCTTATGTTTGTCTTGCCCATGTTTCTAGGGCATTGTGTGTGTGTCTTGGTGTTGCAGATCTGTCCCCGGGTTTTTAGCTAGGCCCTTTTAAGAAGTAGCAGGGTGAATTGTCCTTAGGCTGTGATTTTCAGACTCACGGTTAATGCTGTGAGCAAAGAGGGTGGAAACCAGGAATGTGCAGTAGGGCAAGGCAGTGTCTGGAGTCTTAACTTTCTATCCAGTCTGAGGTAGCAGGTGGCGATATGGTTAATGGACCTTCAGATTCTTTTCTGTTAAGTACACGTTTTTGTGTGTAGGTAATCGGATAGCTTAGCTTCTGGCCATTGTCATTCCTGGCGACCACAGCATAACAAGATTGAGCTGGATAAGTTTCCAGAGGAGCAGTGATCAGAGAATCGGTATCAAAAGCTGGTGTTTTCCATGTGAGCATGGTGGAATCCCAAGTCACTCTGAGTTATATCGTTGCACAGAAGGTCTTGACTGTGGATTACGTGTACCACACACAGGCTGCTCTGTGATGAGCCCATAATATTTTCCAACAGCACTTACTGCTGACCCAAAGCCCATATTTGGCTGAAAGGTTCTCATCTGTGACCTTGGAATTTAGAGTGCTTATTGTTGTCATGAAAAAGTGGCCTAGACAATTTTGAGCTGACATTTTATTTTACATTTACAGTTCTTTTCAGATATGTAGTATTGCTGAGCCTGTGCCCACTGAGGGTAGTGCAGGACAAGAATGGCAGTGATCCTCATACTGAGAGTAGTTTAGGATGGGAGTGGTGGTGCTCCTCATGCTGAGGGTAGTGCAGGATGGGAGTGGTGGTGCTCCTCATACTGAGGGTAGTGCAGGATGGGAGTGGTGGTGCTCCTCATGCTGAGGGTAGTGCAGGATGGAGGTGGCGTCCCCAGAGCACCCCTAGGTCAACAGGTGCAGTTGAGAGCCTGTGGCTAGTTTAGTGTTCCGAGAAGCAGTGGTTTTGTTACAGTTGCCACTGGAGATCAGCATCAGGTTAGAATTTCACAGAGCGACTGTGATGTATTTTCCAGGTTACTTTGCCTTACATTTTATGTATTTGTGTATTTTTCAAGTGAATTAAAACTGCAGGGTCTCTTTTCATAGTATGCATAAAGAGTAGGAGTGGGGGCTGGTGACCAGCGCATGAAACAGGGCCCAGCTGTTGGAACCTATCAACTCAGGAAATGTTGAAGGAATGAAAGGCTATGATCTTGACGTTACAGCTACTTTAGAATTTCGAACTGCTTAGTGTGGGTGTGCTGTGTGTTTGTAGAGAACTCAAGTACAGAAGAGAAGTATGGACAGTAGGTGAGATGTCCACCTGGAAGTAGGTCTGAATGCTAGGTCTGTATCCCCGGACAGTGCAAGGGACCTGGAACTGAGTGTGCTGGGACTCTGGTTTAGGAGACTCCTGGGATCAGACTTACACATTGATGTAGTTAATGTGGTAACACAAGGACAGTGGCTAGCACATTCATGTCCGGAGGACAGTCTGGACATTTGAAGCCGGAGTCTTTCTTTCTTTCTTTCTTTCTCTCTCTAGGCAGCCTCATCAAGCTGCACTAGTTGGTGATGGCCTTCGGCAGCAGCTGGGGCCGCGGCTCGCATGGACCCTGACTTCAAATCAGCCTTCTTCTCAAACCCCTACCTCCAAGGGCCTCCCAAATGCCCTTTCTCGCAACATGACAAGGTCAAGGAGAGAAGGGGATCCGAGTGGTAAGTTGTGTTTTGGTGTTTAGAAGCCATTTTACTCTCCACTTGGAGCCGGGACCTCCGCTGTAGTGTTCCTTAGTTTTCATAGACTCACACCAGGCCCCTTTTGGGCCAGATGCCCTGTGAGGTCACTTCATGTGGCCCGCTTTCAGTCCTGCTACCCCCAGTTCTCAGCTGTCTGTCTGTCTGTCTGTCTGTCCCCTGTGTTGTACTCTCCCTTCTTGTCACAGTCCCCTCCCCACTGCATTCTGCTGTCCTCCTGGGAAGCCGCTCAGAGCTTCAGGAAGATCCCTTCTCATGTCCAAATCCAACTCCTCAGGATAGTGTCTGCCTCGGTCATGGTGTTAGTGCTTCGCGTGGTTCCTGGACTGTGAGGGAACCTCACCGGCGAGTTCCCTGGGGGTGAGAGGAAGACCTCTCTAAGGGTTTAAAGCCCGTTAGACTGTCAAGGGATGTGCTTTTCTCACTAGACCACATAGAGCGGTGCTTGGCAGGTGGGGTTATGAGAACTGAAGAATGGGCTTTGCTGTTGACTCGTGGCCTGAGGCTGATCCTGAGGCTGGGGCTGCTGCTTCCTGTCCTTAAGGGCAACCGAGGGGCCAGTGTCCTTGTAAGTCAAGGACGTGAAAGCCTTTGGCCATGCAATTGTCCCCATGGAGAACTCACACATGTCACCTTCTCTACACATTATCCCACCATGTGTAAAGGTGGGTACTCGGGTGACATATGCCCGTGTGTGACGCAAGCCAGTGCATTGTCCTCAGCCTGCATACCTGTGTTCCCCACATAGACAGAGGGGACTTGGAAGAAGTAGATGAGAGTAAGAAGGAGCAGTGGGGGAGACAGGGACAGTAAGAAGGAGCAGTGGGGGAGACAGGGACAGTAAGAAGGAGCAGTAGGGGAGACAGGGACAGTAAGAAGGAGCAGTGGGGGAGACAGGGACAGTAAGAAGGAGCAGTGGGGGAGACAGGGACAGTAAGAAGGAGCAGTGGGGGAGACAGGGACAGTAAGAAGGAACAGTGGGGGAGACAGGGACAGTAAGAAGGAGCAGTGGGGGAGACAGGGACAGTAAGAAGGAGCAGTGGGGGAGACAGGGACAGTAAGAAGGAGCAGTGGGGGAGACAGGGACAGTAAGAAGGAACAGTGGGGGAGACAGGGACAGTAGTAGCATGGCTGCTTTAGCCCAGGTGCACTTGCTAAAGGCATAAATACTTATTTTCCATGACAGTTTTCAGAATAATTCCAGTTTGAGTAGTAAGTACATGCTGCTTACAAGAGATACATTTTAAGAGGGTTACAAATAGGTTAAAAGTAAGTGGTTAGATGCTTTAAAGTCAGCCATGGAGAAGGGGAGTGCCTCTGTCAGGGTAGACTTCAAGTAGCGAGATGGAGGTGGTCTTCAGGATAATGAAGGTGTACTCCTGAGGAAGATTCAGTGAGTCTGCTGTACGTGCCAGGAGAGTTTACCCTGCTCCCGTCTAGGTGGGCAGGAGAAAGAAAGAACAGGAGCCCCTGGCTCACAACCGGCTGGCTGTTAGCTGCTGCTTGGTAACTGAACCACAGGTGGGAATGGGCAAGAATGCCGTGTGAGGTTTGAAGGACACGGTTAACCTCTAGGTGATTGCAGCAGTTTTGCCCCCAGCCAAGGATGAACAAGCTGAACTCTGTGTGGTGGCTCTGAATGCTGCCTGCTCCTGACTCTCTCTCTGGGTCCCCTCGACATCCTGGGTTTCTGGGTGTTGCTCTTCCTCTTTGTGCTCATTTTTGGCTAACCCCCTAAGTTTATGGTGGCATTTGTTCAGAAGACCTGGGGAAGCTGATGTTTTTTCTGGGCCACGAACTCCATTTCTGGTGGTGTTAGAAGGATCACCCTGCAATAAGCTGTTGTCACCCACCCCTGCTGTGGGGTTACTCCCTATGGTGGATTTGTGCTGTTACCTGTCTGATGGCCATGGGGAGGCTTGTCTTCAGACCTCGGCAGGACACTGCAGGAGCCCCGCCCCTCAGGAAGCCCCTCCTTCCCTGTCTTACGCGGCTCTTGCTTCTTGAGCTCACTTAACGCACAGCTCAGTAGAGATGGTATATGTGGTCTGGGAGCAAATGTATAGCACACAGCCAATCAGTCATGCACCTCATTTTCCGTGGAGAGTGTTCCTTACTGTCTTAAAAATCACTTTGCAGGCTCGTTGGAAGTTACTGAAGCAGCTCTTGTGAGGGATATTCTTTACGTGTTCCAGGGCATTGACGGCAAAAACATCAAAATGAGCAGCACCGGGAACTGCTACAAAGTGGAAGGCAAGGTATGCCGGCAGAGTCTTGCCTGCGGTGCTCAGACAGGAGGGCTCACTGAGTCCCGTATCATCAAGCTTCTTACTGCCGGCATCCGGGGCTTGGCAGAGTGGGCACCGAGCGAGTTGCACAGCTGGATTTGGTTTCTCTCCCTGCCCTGTCATGGCCGATCTCTGTGGCAGCGCTTGGTGGTCCCCATGAGTCACTGATGGGGCTGCTGCAGGGTAGAGGACCCAGGAAACAGGCCAGTGCGGAGTCTTGTCCTGGACACGGCATTCCTGACGCAGGCTCCCACATCCCACCCCTGTGAGTGACGACTCTGTGTCTCTGCGGACTGTCAAGGTCCCAGTGGGCACGGCCCAGAATGCTGTTCCACAGGGTGACACAGCAGGAGCCTGGCGTCCTCACACTGTGCCCTCCCCTTGGTGGTGTGGTCCTTACTTCTAACTTCCTCGGGCTGGGGGTTGAGGTGAGACTGTCAGAGCAAGTGCCTGGGGCTGATGCTGAGTTCTGACCTCTGGTGTGCTTCCTTTCCAGGCAAACTTAAATAAATCTTTGAGGGACACGGCAGTCCGGCTTGCAGAGCTGGGATGGTTACACAACAAAATCAGGAAATACGCTGACCAGAGGAGCCTGGACCGCTCTTTTGGACTTGTAGGCCAGGTGTGTTCATCACAGTTAGGTCTGACGTGCTTAATCTGTGTAAGGCTTGCGTGTGAAATTCACTGTCAAGGCTCTTCCCAAGGAAAGTGTCCTTGGTGACTGATGATGCTGTCAGCCAGAGTCCACTGAGAACAGGCAGACTCGGAGCTGGTGAGGGGATGGCCGATGGAGGTCAGAGGAAAGAGCTGGGGAGAGGTCGGGACTTCGAAGTGGGAAAGCGTGGGCCTGCGCTGTAGCCATCACTGCCGCCTGGGGGAAAGGAAGGGCCCTGGGAGTATGACCAGACCTTCAGGTGCCCCCCATTTCCAGTGCTGCGGATGTGGGGAGTGGGGACCTGCTGCTCTCGCTGATTGGATGGCCGTGGCTGGGGCACTGATGGACCTGCATGCCACTTGAAGCAGACACCTTTCCCCCGACTGCTGGATCTTGAGGGGAGCAGCAGATATAAAGTGAGCGTGGGGTTCTTCCAGAGTCCCGGCCTCTTGCAGAGGTTTAGTGGTGTGTGCCTTTGGCCTCAGTTGCATTCTTAGGCAGTAATTGCTGCCAGTGATATCTACAGCTACTGAGAGGATCACAGAGGCAGCATGGAGAGCTGCTGGAGAGTGACTGTTAGCCAGGAGCGTGGCAGGGGCAGCGTGGCTGTTAGCCAGGAGCGTGGCAGGGGCAGCGTGGCCAGTGGCCAGGAGCATGCCAGGGGCAGTGTGGCTGTTAGCCAGGAGCATGGCAGGGGCAGTGTGGCTGTTAGCCAGGAGCGTGGCAGGGGCGGCATGACCAGTGGCCAGGAGCATGGCAGGGGCAGTGTGGCTGTTAGCCAGGAGCATGGTAGGGACAGCATGGTTGGTGGCCAGAGGTGAGGCAGGGGCAGTGTAGCTAGTGGCCAAGAGCATGGCAGTGTGTAGGAGTGTAACAGGCAGCGTGACTGGTGGTCAGGAGTGTTACAGGCAGCGTGGCTGGTAGTCAGGAGTGTCATGGGCAGCGTGGCTGGTGGTCAGGAGTGTCACGGGCAGCGTGGCTGGTGGTCAGGAGTGTCACGGGTAGCGTGGCTGGTGGTCAGGAGTGTCACGGGCAGCGTGGCTGGTGGTCAGGAGTGTAATGGGCAGCGTGGCTGGTGGTCAGGAGTGTAATGGGCAGCGTGGCTGGTGGTCAGGAGTGTAATGGGCAGCGTGGCTGGTGATCAGGAGTGTGACTGTGAAGTGAGACCTCAGAGATGAAATCCGGCTTCACATTTGACAGTCCGTCCCTTTGCACAGATTCTGTCCATTCTCATTGTTCCTTTCTGCAATAGGAGGGTGAAGAGGGAGTGCATAGTTAGCCGCTGGTCCTGAGTCTGCCTCTTTCCTCTCGTGCTGTCTACTCTCCAGACACTAGCCCAGGTGACCATCGCCCTTCTGAGGGCTGACACTAAAAGCAGGCTTTGCAGGGCTGACTTTACTCACCCCACCCTTCTTCATTCTGTCTGCGACGACAGTGTCTTCTTTCTGGTGGAGTGGAATCCAGTGAGTTTCCACGTGTGGCTGTTGTGAGTGGTGCTGCAGCGGTGGATGCAGAACAGCCCTTCCCTCAGCACTGGCTCTGTGTCCTTTGGACGTGGGTCCTGGGTGTTGGCATCTGGAAGTTCTACTTTTAGTTATTTGAGGAGCTTCTGCATAGCTGATGCAGCGTCTGTCCGTCCCCGTCCCCGTCCCTGTCCCCCCACCACCTCTCCACAGCGTGCTGACTCCCCCTTCCTCCTCATCCCCTGATAATGGTGGTTCTTCTGGAGTTAGGCTGTTTCTCTGGTTTTGATTTGCATTTCCTTGGTGATTAGTGGCTCTGAACATTTTCTCATATGCCCATTGGCTGTGTCTTTTAAGAAATGTCCAATTCTGTACTTTAAAAAATCAGACTCTGGGTTTCTTCATCCTTTATATATTCTGGGTATCAATGACTTGTCAGATGTGTGTCTTAGATATTTTATCACTGTAGTAGTGTCATAAGAATCTTACAGTCTTTAAATCCTGTTCTCTTATGCTATTGATTACCCTAACGTCTCTAAAAATAGCAGGTGGTATTTATTCATTGATTCTGCAGAAGCAGAAGTCGTACTACAAAAGTTTGTCTTGAAGTGCTCTGACAGTGGAGGCAGGTACATGTAACTCCTGTATTTCCTGCTGTTGAAGTCAAGAAGTGATGGCTGGCCGGCCACATTAGACTTGTTGAGTGCTCTTGTTGGGGCGATCTGTGTGCCTCTTGTCCTGGGTAGTTACTATGCATGTTCTCTCTGCGGCCTCAGCAGAACCCATCTCCTACTCCAGATGGCACAGAACTGTGCGGACGGAGATGCTGGCTTCCAGTACAGTTCTCAGCCTCCCTTCTCTTCTGGCAAGCCCAGGCAGCCCAGCCCAGCTAGCCACTCAACTCTTTGGCTAGGTGTGCTCACGGCACCCTGCTGTGTGGACGTTTGGTGTGGAACCACCTGTAATTTGAGCTGTGTGGTCTGCGGGTTTGCATTCTCCATGGCACACTGCAACTGGAGCTCTTGATCGTTTGATAAATGGTTTATTATTTTTATTTTTTAACCTTATATGGTTGTGGTTCTGCCCTCTCGGAGGCTGAGTGGCGGCTTTGTAGAATGTGACGATGTGCCTGAACAAATTCCACATCTGTTTCTGTGAGCATTAGGGAAACTTAGTAGTTTAGTAAGGATTTCTATGCCCCTGTGCAAATTATTTCCTTATATAGAACTGGCAGAGTGTATGTACGGTGGTGTGTGGTGGAGGGTCAGCCTTCATTGGGAGCCCAGGATTTCACTCCAAGGTCTGTGGTTCCCTTGGTTGGGACAGTTCGTCTTGCAAGTCTGACTTTGGAAGTGTTGCTGTGTGTCTATAAAGCTGGTGTGCTTGTCTTTAGAGCTACAGAAGATTAAAATGTGCATTTTATGTTCATCTTTATAGCTGAAAGGGCATTTTATTTTTCTGTCTGGTAAAATAAGCCCGTATTTTATGAGATTGTATTTTGCATTGAGGTGTGTGGGAAACCATGGAGCTGAATATTTATTTAAAGAGGATAGATTTTAGCCTTTGCTAGTGTGTTTATGGTGGCTTGTCTTGCAAAGCAGACTTTGGGCTGTGTGCTCTGTTTATAGCCTTGGGTTCATGCCAAGAGGGTCTTACATTGGACTGTAGGCCAGTGGGGCTCTTCTTTACTGCTTCTGAGAGTGTGCATTTAGTTCAGGCTGGAAATGCAGAGAGAAGTGCTCAGTGCACTGAGTGGGAAAGTAAACCATGTCAAAACAGCCTGGGAAGTTCCTAATGCTTGGAAGAGCATTGAAGAAAGTTACTGTAACTCTGAAACTTAGAAAGGCCACCATCTTAAAGGGCCATCTTCTAAAGTGACCACATTTTTAGCTTCATGAAAACCTTTCACATCTCCATTTCTCTTCTGCAAGGTTTGTGTTTTTTGTTATTAGAACAGACACTACAGGTCCAGGATTTCAGTTCTGCTGAGCTCCTTGAGAAGGCGTCTCCTCCCGCCCAGAGAGAGCCGTTGTGTGTGCATGGTCATGCTAACCCCGCTTTCTCCCTCCCACACAGAGCTTCTGTGCTGCCTTGCATCAAGAGCTCAAAGAGTACTACAGGCTCCTCTCTGTTCTGCACTCTCAGGTAAGCGCTTCCCTTGGAATCCGTCCAGTTCTCAAGAGTTAGAAAATGGACACGGTAGAGGGGATTTTGTTCCTTCATGCACATACAAGAGTAACCATGTTCATAGTACAAGATTTGTTCACTGCATCCCAGAGCCAGTGAACTGCTCATTTCCGGGTCCTGGCTGCCATATGACGTCTTCGTTGTGTGCAGTCTGAGAGCGCTGCAGTTTCCCAGAGGGACCCTGACCTTATTGTTAGATTCACTTTGTGTGGGTTAGGGGCTGACGGCTTGTACTCAGTTACTTCTGTTTAACCTTTCCCTGTTGTTTTTTAGCTCCAGCTAGAGGACGATCAGGGTGTGAATTTGGGACTAGAGAGTAGCCTCACACTGCGGCGCCTCCTGGTTTGGACATACGACCCCAAAATAAGACTAAAGACCCTCGCTGCGCTGGTAGATCACTGCCAAGGTCTTCTGAGTTCCTCTTTTCTGTGCCTCTAGACTTGAGTGCAAAACTTGTTTGTCGGCAGGGCCCATGGTTCTGCTCTGCTTGAGGGTACACTCAGTGAACACAGATAATAGATACAGGCTTGCAGGGAAAGTCACCTGGTACCAGTGTGGTCTGCTTGTTAGCCTGAGGCTCTCAGGGCGCCACTGAGACGAAACTGGGAAGGGGGTGCATCTGGTGACCAGAGGCAGCTCTGTGGGCTGCATGCCAGGGCACATGCCTGCCTGTGCCCTACCTGCACACTTGTTTACCTCACAGCCTTCTCTGCCTTCCCGTGCTCTGGACTGTCTGCTGCTATCCCTCCCTGAGTTGCCCAGGACCTGAACTTGAGCACCCCTGAGTCCAGGTTCACCACGTACTGTCCGGGGGTAGCTTCCCTCACCCTGGTAATTCTGTGAAACAGAGAGAAGTGGGACAGAGCAAACCGCTCCTCCACTCCTCCTCACCACACCCCTCCCCAGCTGGGTGCCTGCCATCATTCCTCTTCCCTCTGGCTTCTTCCCCTCTGCAGTAGGTATTGGCCACTGAAGCCCTGCAGCTGTCTTGCAGCAGTTTGTCCGTTCTGTTTGGTGTTTGGCAGATGTTGTTGTAAGAACTGCTCCTGAGTTCCTAGGCTCATCAGCCTCTCTGCTTGCACACCAGAGCCGTCTGTGTAAGACTAGAGGCCACGTCGAACCCTCCACGTCCGATACAGCACTGACCACTATGCTTGCTTGCGTTGCCGGAAGCCATTCTGCCGCTTCTGCGCCCCGCAGGGTCCTCCTGGGCCCACCTGCCGAGCCATGCCGGGGAGTTGGGCTTGTGCGCCACACCCCGAGTCTTGTCCCTCTTGCTCCTTCGACCCTTTCTTCTCGTGGCTACTATGGTGTGTGGTGCACTGCAGTGTGAACTGTGGATTTCAAGTGTCACTTTTATAACTGAAAAACTCCTTGGCTGACTTCTGCTTGAGTGTGCAAAGCCAGATACTGAATCCTGGTGCCTGGGCCTTGCTGCATCGCATTGCTGCTGCTATTGCTAAATATAAGAAGTTCTCACCGACTCAGGAGAGCAGATGCACTTGTCTCTGCTACTTGACTGTCGCTGGTTTAGTGTTATGGGATTGGTTTGTGCCATGAATTCAAATTTGGGTATTTATTTCTGTGTCTTTTTTCCTCATTCCCCTAGGACGGAAAGGGGGTGAGCTGGCCTCTGCTGTCCATGCCTACACAAAGACAGGAGACCCCTACATGAAGTCCCTGGTGCAGCACATTCTGAGTCTGGTGTCCCACCCTGTCCTCAGCTTCCTTTACCGATGGATCTATGACGGGGAGCTGGAGGACACTTACCATGAAGTAAGTACCAAGACTCAGGGCTAGGAGATGCCGGTGTTGCCTTCTCCAGTGTGATTTACCTCGACCGTTATCATTTCCTGTGACCGGGACTGTGCCTGCACCTCATTGGAAGGCCATTCACGTTTGGCATTGTGCTTTGTGATGAGTGCAGTCATGAGGTTAGGGGAAGCTGCTCTCCCAGGTTCAGTGCTGGGAGCTCAGCCAGGTGGAAGTGCATGCCGCTGCATGCCGGTGCGCCCTCGCTGACTGACCGAGCACGGCTGGTGACACAGCTCTGGGGAGCCGTCTCTTCATGTGGTCATTTATAAGCTTGGTCAGCTGTGCTGTTGGTTTGAATGCAGCAAGCGAAGGCATTTGTGCTTATGTTCCTTTTGGAACGTAGGCAGTTACGGTGTGATGCAACATGCAGAACCATGCAGCAAACCCCAGAGGATTCCGTAGTTGTTGGGGACCAGGGCTAGGAACATCACACCCAAAAGTGTTGTCAGTAGCACTAAGGAATGGAAAGACAGGAACCCGATAAAAGTGGTATCATATATTAACACATGCTAAGAGGTTAAGAAATACATAGATGCCACGCTAAATACAGCATTCCTCACGAAAACTCCAGTGTTTGCCATGGAAGTGGGTGCAGGAGAGGCATTTTTTTTGTGGGGAGGGGAGGTTGAATCCAGGCCACATGCTTGCTAGACAAATGCTCAAGCACTAAGCTACATGCCCAGACGTCTTTCTGGATTTCTGAAATGTGTGATACAGACACTGATTTACCGTGATGTGGTACGGTATACACTTGGGGTCTTCTTCTGAAGACACCTGGTTGCTGGGAACATGGGTAAGACTTTAAGGTCTGATTTATGGTGTGTGTGTGTGTGTGTGTGTGTGTGTGTGTGTGTGTGTGTGTGTGTCTGTGCGCACGTGCACGCATGTGTGCGGAAGCCGGAAGTTAGTCTCATGCATTTGCTCTTCAGACAACTTTCACCTTCACCTTTTGAGGCAGGGTCTCTCACTGACCTGGAACTTGCTGAGTAGACTAGGCTGGCCCTCCAGCATGCCCCAGGAGTCAGCCTGTCTCTGTCACTCCAGTACTCAGTTTACAAGTATGTGCCACTTCACCCAGGGTTCTTGTTTGTTTGTTTTTAATGGTGGTGTTATTTTTCTACTTTTTTTTCATAGAATATTCTGATTATGGTTCCCCTTCCCTCAACTCCTTCCAGGTCTGCCCTGCCTCCCCTCCCCCCAAATCCATACCCTTTCTCTCTCACTAGAAAACAAATGGGCATCTAGAAAATAATAATAAAATACGATAAAAAACATGCCAGAGAGATCCAGGACAGGATCCAAAGCTACACAGAGAAACCCTGTCTCGAAAAACCAAAAAAAAACCCAAAAAAACAAAAAAATACCAGAATAGAACAAAACAAATGGATAAACAGAAGAAAGAGAGGCCAAAAAAAGGCACAAGAAACATATAGATGCAGAAACACACACACAAATCCCATCAAAACACAAAATTGGAAACCATATATATATGCAAACGACTATAAGGTAAAGAAAAAAAAAAAAGAACCTTATTTTATTTTAAATTGTGTGTGTGTAAGGACGGTGCCCACAGAGCCCAGAGAGGGCTTTGGCTCCCCTGGAGCTGGAGTTATAGGAAGTTGTGAGTCACCCAGTGTGGGTGGTGGGTATCAAACTTCCGTCCTCTGTGATTGCCATACCTGGTCTCTGCAGCCTTTGCCAGGCTGGCTTTGTTTTTCGTCACCCGTTGACCCATCTCTCTGCCCTAGGTTTTGTAAGTTACTGAGTGAGCATCTTTGTTGAGTTCAGTAGAATTGGTTCATCTTGTCACTCAACAAACATAACCTCAGTTCTTGTCCCATTGGTAAAGATTTTATTTTCATGCTTTTCTTTGGACTTAATTTAAAATTTCTAGAGAAGTTCCATGAGTTCTGCAAACATCCCCTGGGTCCTTCCCCAGGGTTACCTGAGAGCTACAGTGTCACTGCGTTGACTCATCAGTCTTCTCAGACCTCCTCACACCAAGGAGTCTGAGGTCTGATGCTGATGCAAAACCCCTGAATTCACACAGGCACCCGCAAGACCAGGGTCCCCAGTTTGCCTGCCAGGTCCTTTGCCCAGTGACCCTTTGACCCTGGTGCTCATTTGCCCCGCTCCTTTTGTTGGTGAGTGACGCCTGGTGAGGGTGGGTGCAGTGTGGTCTTCATGGGGTTGTCGTGTTGTCCTCGAAGTCATGCTGCTGTGTCTGGAACCTGCTCCCTTGCTGCTGGGTCTGCCTCACTGCCTAGATCTGCATAGCGTTCGGCCTGTTGAGGGCATTCGGGGCCAGGGTGAGACGAGCGGCAAGTGGCAAGATCCAGGTGGACTGGTGGGTGACATGTGGCCATCTTCTGTCCCTGAGTATAGATCCCTGATGTCTGTCATTGTCTGGTGAACTCTATAAATAGGTTTTGTGTAAGTTTTAAGTCACTTTTGGGAAGATTATCTCTAACTGCAAATAGTAGATTTACCGTACAAAGTCGGTAGGTTAGAGAGTTACATTGTGTATTTGATTGTTGTGTAATACAAGCTTGAGGGTTTTGCCTCTTTAGTCCTTGCGTAGGCTAATTCTTCAGCAGGGCCAAAGTGAGTTATAATTTGATTGTGAAATCGAATGTCTTCAGTGACTGTATGTGAGCTGTGCAGTCATTGTAGTTTATGGAATACCTGCACAGGAAATGCTTCTTCAGCCCTCAGATGAGGGTGCAGATACCGGCCAAGAGAAACTGGACAGGAGCCAAGTGGAAACTGTGAGCTGAAAACTGCCAGGCTCCTGTGCTTAGTCTTCACGGTCAGCCTGAGTGGCCGAGGAGTCCTGGTAAAGCACAGCCACCTGGGTGTGTCTGTGAAGAAGAGCCCAGCGAGGACTAGTTAGGATGTGAGCAGCACCCCAGAGGCGGGCTGGGGGCCCAGGCTCCACAACGGGGGACAGAGACAGCTCTGCATGCTGCCTGCCACTGTGGATGGAACCTCTGAACTGTGACCAGGATAAGCCTTCCTTTCTTAGCTGTGTTACTGTCACAGCAGCAGACCATCCAAGTTTGCTCTACAGCGGACTTGAACAGAGAGACGAGACGCACCCACTGCCTGGAAGTGAAATGAGGCCATCCAGTTTGACAGACAGAGGAACAAGGAGGGAAGGGAAGAGACAACTTGAGTCTGTGGCATAGAACTGATGAACAAAATCCTCATTATCAGTGTTCAATCGGCGAGAGACGCAATGAAGAGGTCCATAGAGCAGCGAGACGTGTTATAATGGAACTACAGAGAGCCAGAGACAGGGAAACAGTCTTCCAGCAGCTGCCTTTCCAGGAGAAGGCCAGAAGGTGGCGGGTGTGTGGACTAACCTCACTGGGAATTCTGCAGCAGTCATTCTCAAGCAGAAATGGAGAAAGAAGAGATCCTCTTCAGTAAAACCCAAGATTTCCCAGAATGCAAACTTGCCCAAACTGATTCACAAAGGAACAGGAATGTACGCAGACCTCCAGCAGGTCAGTGGGTCTGTCAGTGATTGAGAAATGCCCTGAGGAAAGGCAGTGATGAGAAGATGGCTTGGTTGGTGAGTTTCTGTACAGACTCACCATGGGCCTTCTCAAACTCTAGGACGTACAATGGGAAGGAGCGTGAAGTCTGTTTTATGAGGCCACTGTAGCACCACACAAGACACATAATGGGCACAAAGCCTCCACTCTACCAGGAAGCAGAATTCAGGAGCGTATTGAAAATGCTCTTATAGCAAGGGGATTCATCCCAGTAATACAGAGGTGTGGTCATAGTCCACCAGTGTGACAACCATGGTAATAGTGTAGGGACACAATCTACTCTGTTCATGCTAGAGAACTGTCTGGTGACATTTGGCACAGTTTGGTGACAAAATGCTGAAACCTGGACCAGAAAGGAACTTTTTTGAAACAGTAACAGCTAATGAGGCCGTCGTCCGCCTTCTCCCTGGATGAGGACCAAGACAAGGACTCCACATCACCACTCTTCCTCGGCCTTGTGCCGAGTGCACACTCTAGGATAGGAATGAAGAGATCCGGTCAGGGAGAAAAGTACACTTACCCTTTCCAGATGACGTGATCTTAACGTCCAGAAAACCAAGCATGCACTGTGTAGATGTGCACTGGAAAGGGGGTACACTGTGTCTGAACTAAGTTCTCAAACTACAGCCACCCTCGGGCAAAATTCCTTGTGTTTCTCTACACTCAGTAAGCGTTGCAAACAGGAAATAAAACAGCTCCACTCACATCAAACACACTAAATACTTCAGGATAAAATTAGCGAAGGATCAGTCTGGTGCCCTTTGAAATACTGTACCTGGAGAGTTCGCCTGGTCCGTGACCTTTGTGACACAGGAAAGCTAGCTGACGGGGTTGCACCCCCTTTGAAGGTGCTGTGAGCTCTTCAGCATGAAGCAGGAGCCCTGGCGTCCGTCGATAGCAGGCAGGTTGGTGTGGGAGCTGCTCTGCTCTGTGCTGTTGTATCTGATTCCTAGGAACTAAGTTGCATGCTGAGAAAATGTCCCCTTTGCTCCTGTTTTGGGGGTGGGGAGTGCACATTTGTCTAGCAGTTAATGAGAAATCAGGGTACAATGACATTTTATTTTTTTCCCTAGATTCTTTCTGTGTTTGACATAATGGTAGAAATTAAAGGACCTTGAGGGGAAAATACATCAATATAATGAAGGCTTATTGCAATTATATTCTGACCTTGGTTCTTCCCTCCGCCACCATCTGAGTCTCACAGAGTTCATTATATCCTCAAGATGAGCACCCCCTTTGTGCTCACGACTAGCTGCTCGCAGAGCGACTGCGCGCTCCTGTGCCCTAGATGAAGCAATGTGTTCGTGACTTCCAAAGATGACCGAATTGTCTGGGAGTTTTTTATGGATTAAATTAAAATTTCTTATTGTTCACACTGATAGAAACCCCGCTACACTCCAGCCATCAGGATAAATTGGTGTGCTGTCTGTAAAACCTAGCTCTTGTGTTTAAGTGAATAACAGAGAAATACAATTTATATGCAATTAATCTCATCTGTTGAATGGCAAGCCAGAGGGCAGTTGTAGCACAGAGATGGTAACCGGAGAGGCCCTCGCGGGGGGTTTGTAATGTTTTCTTGTTTTCCTCAGGGTTAAGTTCAGTGTGTGTTGCATGATAACCTCATCAGAGCAGAGTGTTTATTTCCCCAAGCTGCCGTGGTTATATATTTTTAATTGGAAAGGTAATATACAGTTAAAGGGTGTAAGATAGATTAGTTAGTTGAAAGCAAATGACCTTTCTCTGTGGTCACAAGAACACCAACATTCGTAAGCTTGGCCTTCAAAGTCAAGTGGGGACCTCGTCATTACAGCTGGGCAGTGGATTCCTACAGAAGAAAAACTGTTGACTGCTCTGAGAGAATGATGCTATCTAAAACAAAACAAATAACAGAATGGTTAGCTGGTGTCAATTATTAAAGTTTTTCTAATTCACAAATTATTTGTGCACTTTAAAAGTTTTGATAGTATAAACACATCTAACAGAAAAAGTTCATGTTAGTAATATGATCATGAGTAGGTAATATTTGTGTTTACTCTGTTTCAACTGGACTGTGTATCATGTCACACATAATTTTTTCTTAGAAGTAGGTAAATGAGTGTCACTTTCTGACATTAAATTCTTCTTCACCAAGTTCTTAAAATGTTCTTTGAAATCCTGACTAGCTATTAGTCTGGCCTATATTTGTAAATGTAAATTTGCATTTTGTTTTTCCTGGAAAGATTAGTGCTTTTCTTCATGTCCTTGGATATGAAAGAAACTTTATTTTTAATGGTTATATGATCATTATAGATCATTGACATATTCACATGCTTTTTAACATTTTCCCAACAAAACTGGCTTTATTCATCAATTGTGTGATTGTCTAAATGGAAAACCCAAGAAAAACCACTGTTAGAACTAATAAATATAATAGTTTCAAGCTTTCGGTATTTATTTGTTTGTTTACTTTTGAGGCGGGATCTTACTATGTAGAACAGGCTGGCCTCGATACTTGCAGAGATCTGCCTGCCTTCCAATTGTTAGCATTAAAGACATGCAGCACCATCCCAGAAAGCATATTAGAAGGATACGATACTTCAGTCAAAAAGATTTTGCCAATAAAAGATAATATTTTACTTAGAATAACTAATGCTAGCAATAATACAAACTAATGAAAGTAAAATGGTAAAACAGATGGAAGGTTACTTCTGTTATCTGGAGATGTGGAGATAGCATGAGAGTCGGAAAGCCCAAGGCTGTAACAATGACAGGATAGGGCAAATAAACAGCAGGGAACAGCTGCACACACTGGCAAGTGCTTCACTTTGGAAATTTGTAGTGTGTGTAATGTACGGATAACGTATGAAGACTGTTTACTAATAAAAGTTGAGATAGAAAGGTAGTCTAGAGACAGAAAAGACAGTCCGCAGGAGGAGAACACCAAGGGGAATTAGCACTGTGGGGGGATACTAACTTCATTTAGCTAAGGGTGAAGAAAGAGTGCAGGGTACCCTGCTGGTGGGGGTGCTAGCTGCACAGGCTTTGGAGATGTGTGTGGTGTCATATGTACAAATTGAACATCCCTCACCCGTCAGTTCTGCTTCCAGAAAGCATTTTGGTAGGGATCAGAGCAGTGGTACTCAGCCTTGTGGCTAAAGTGGAAGTGGCCTCTTTGTAGTGTGGATAAACTGGAGCAATGGCAGCTGGGTCTTTCCCTGCTACAGAAAGCCCTCTCTAGGGTGTGGGTGTGGGAGGGGGAAGATGAGAGTCACGTGAGAAAGTCTCTTCCTCTAGTACCCCTTGGCCGGTTGGTTGTAACTGGCCTTTGCACGGGAGGCCCTGTGTGCTGTGGGCACTGCTGTGGTGGCAGTTTGTGAGCTGTGTATGTGCTCGGGTGCTGCTGACCTGACCCAGCCTGTGGTGTGCTGCTCTGAAGTGGAGGCGGTCAGGAGCACGTGAACCCAGTGAGTGCTAAGAATGCTCTGGAATTCCATGTTGATACCATGCTCAGAACTCCATGAGCATGCAGAAGCAAGCCCTGAGGACATGGCTCCTGGAGGCTGCCAGGGAGAAGCTTCATTGATGCTCGTGCTGAGGCGCGCTCCTAAGTCTCCCAGGAAAGTGCGCTTTGTTTTTGTTGTAATTTGGGTTTAAATGTCTGGGAACATAATCAACTTCGCTTTCTGTCCAGAATGCTTTGTCAAACAGTTTATTGTATAAGTGAGTGGACTCCTAGTGTCTGAATAACTTACTTAGAGAATAACTATAATAATTTCTTTTGTTACTAGTCACTAATATTTTCCACAAATATTTCTAATGCTCAGTGTTCTTTTGCTTTTAGTTTTTCGTGGCGTCAGATCCGACCGTTAAAACCGACCGACTGTGGCATGACAAGTATACGCTGAGGAAATCGATGATCCCTTCCTTCATCACGATGGACCAGTCTAGAAAGGTAGGGCTGGAGGACACTGCTGTACTCAGAACGCGTGAACTATGTGATGGAGACGGATTGGCAGTGAAAGAAGCTTTCGCTGTGTTTTGCTGATGGACTGTGCTGATTGATGTTCGTTTCCCCGTGTGTTTTTTAGCTCCTGAACTCACTTATAAAGATGTGATGCTCGTGTCCTGTGGTTTTATTTCAGTAGCTAATACAAAACGTGTGAATATTTGAGATGTTTGGAATATATGAAATATGAAATACATGAAAAGTAATCATAGTTTATTTCCTTTCTAGGTCCTTTTGATAGGAAAGTCCATAAATTTCCTGCACCAAGTCTGTCACGATCAGACACCAACTACAAAAATGATAGCTGTGACCAAGTCTGCGGAGTCACCCCGTGACGGTACGGTCCTTTTGAGGGTGATGACGGAAGGGATGGGTAGAGTGACCATGGCTGGTCACTGTGATGGAGATGTGGTGACGATAGTGTGAGGTGGTGAGTATGAGACAGTGGTAGTGACCCTGGTGGTGACAGTGATGGTGACCTGGTGGTGACAGTGATTTGATAGTGACCCTGGTGGTGACAGTGATTTGATAGTGACCCTGATGGTGACAGTGATGGTGACTTGGTGGTGACAGTGATTGATAGTAACCCTGGTGGTGACAGTGATGGTGACTTGGTGGTGACAGTGATTGATGGTGACCCTGGTGTTGACAGTGATTGATAGTGACCCTGGTGTGATGACCCTTATAACCTATAACATCTATAGATGACTTGGATCACTAACACACCTTCACACAGAGCATGTGTGTACACCTGTGAAATAATGTGGCCATGTGGGTGTTCAGTCTTTAAAATATGAGTGAGACAGTAGCGTTGGAGCAGAGTTAACCGCTTCCTCCTTAGGAAACGCATTGCTTTATCCCCTTCATGATAAACAGATAGTAAATGAATGCAGCAGATGAGAAGGCAGTGTTAGCTCACGACTCAGACTGTGGAGGTCCATTTCTGTCTGCACTGTGCCTCTCCCTGTCAGCGGGTGGGAGCTGCTCCTCCTGCCCCTTCCTGTCCTCTCCTCCCGGCCTTCTGCGGCCGCAGTGTTCCCACACTCCCGCCATCTTGATTCCTTTACTCTGCATGTTGTATGGAAGTGGTACATGAAAACTCCAGCCGAGAGGTTTGGGGAGCCCCTGTCTCTCCACGATGGCTAAGGGCAAGGCTGACCTGTGGCAAGGGCTTCTGAGGTCAGGAGGCGGCCTGTGCAGTTCCTGAGAGTGCAGCATCCCACGCAAGTGGCTTGTGTGCAGACTTGTAACCTCTCGGGTGGTCCTGGGAGAGAGGTGGGATCCAGAGCCGGCTTTGGGAAGACGACTGTGTTTAAGAGATGGAAGAGGAGTCAGAAGACCATTTATAGCGCTGGAGTGAAGACCTTTCCATCATGATAGAACACGCAAGAGGTGTAGGTGGTCTCCTGGAGTAGTGAGACTTACTTTAATGACATCCTGCATGTGATCCTTGAGCTTACAGGCAGTGCTGGGCCCGTTCCTCCTGGAAATCAAGTGCCAGCATCAGCTCCTGGTACGGGGGATGCTGGCCTTTCCGTCTCAGACTGCTTTGCCTTGACTGACTGACTTGCTGGCTTGGGTCTACACTGATGGTTGGCTCTGGTTCCATGGATGCCTTTACTGTTCCTTTGTTAGGATACATGTTACACATGGATGTGTGCCTTTCCCTTTTGTTTTCTACAGCTGCAGATTTATTCACAGATTTAGAAAATGCATTTCAAGGGAAAATTGACGCTGCTTATTTTGAAACCAGCAAATATCTATTGGATGTCCTCAATAAGAAGTACAGCTTGCTGGAGCACATGCAGGCCATGCGGCGGTACCTGCTTCTGGGCCAAGGAGACTTCATAAGGCACCTAATGGATTTGCTCAAGTGAGAAGCTCCATCTGTAAAGTATGCAGTATCTCTAAAATGATAAAGACCTGACATCAGGAGGAAATGAATTGAATTCTTACAAAGTCTGTGTTTAAAACAAACTACACAGATAAAATTTTTGTGGCTTAAATCCCTTACTTTCTTCTCTGGTTGCCAGCAGACCATCAGATGTGTGCCTTGCAGAGTTCAGGGGGAAGCCTCATGTCCCAGTGAGCATCATGGCATGTACAGTAGCTCTCTGAGTGGGTGGAGTTGGGTAATAGTCACAGTCAATTTTGGCTTCAATTTGAAGTCACTTTGATAAATGCATGTTTTAAAGTGAGAAGCGTCGCCCTTCTCACTGTGATCCCTGTGGTCTTCCTCCTGTTGTGGGGCGTCCACACTTGGTGCAGCTCAGGGCTCCAGACAGGGCTGATGAGGACCGGGCCACGTGTGGGCACAGCAGGGCAGTATTTTCATTGAGACATTGGAAGGGGTTGTCACTTGCTGTGAATCAGTGTTCCCTTTAGGATACACAGTTAAACATTCCTCTTAGGACAAAAAAATAGCAAGTTACCTTTGCACCTCGCCTGTGCTAACGAAGCTGATGCTCTGGCCCTGTGGCCTCAAAGTTAGCTTTATCTGACTTCCTGGAGGTCCAGACCCCAGCTGTCCCATCTCATCACCTGGGGAGTTAGTGTGGTGGTGCTGACCTGGAGCTCCTGAGTTAGAGTTGGCCTTTGGCTGGTGTGGACGCTTGGCATTCCCACATACAGTAGAACATTTCCACACCAGAAGTGAGGGAGCTTTCCTGGAGAGTAGCGTGTGTGATAAGGAGCTGTTAAGGGGAAGACGTTCTCTAGGTGCTTGTGGGAGGAGTGTACAGGGTGTGGGGTGTGCAGAGTGGACACGTGTGTGGGCAGCCTAGCCAGGCAGTGCAGAGAGAGGTCTGGAGAGCACTGCAGACCCCTCTGCCCCTCTGCCCTCCTGGAGTGTCACCAGACACTGCAGTGTTCTCTTCTCAGAGGTGAGATTTAAGTGTAAAGGGAGAACCATCAGTCTCTCCTGCCTTCCCCTTGTCTCTACCCGGCACACCTGAGGCGATCTCTTAATCAAAGAGTGGGCGCTTCATGTGTGGAAATACAGCCCTTACCAATGAAGCATGGTGGTGTGGCGCTGATGGGCCTTTGGAACTATGATTTTTATACTTGTGTAGACATTGAGTCTTTGTAGGAAATTATAATAATCCTACCCATAGGCCAGTCATAATTGGGAAATTTCATCAAAATGTATAGCATTGTAAGTACTTTTAGCCTAAGCTGAATGAAAATTAATGTTTTAAGTATTTTGAAGAAATGTGCTTTCTACAACCCTGTGTGCAGTTAATGTCATGAAGCTTTTTTTGATGAAACAGTTTGTTAAAAGTATTTTAATAGATTTTAAGCACAGAGGTAGGAGAAAGAAGCACTCAGAAGACAGCCAAACATTCCAAATCATAGTGTGCGTGTTCAGAGTGGCTGGTTTTGTTGTCTCTACAGTGGGTACTGTAGGCAGAAGTTTCTGTCCCACCAGCAACTCCCAAATACCCAGCAGCTGCTTCCCAAATTACCACACAGAAGCTTATTTGAAGTCTAAATGCTCAGCCAGTAGCTCAGGCTTATTACTAACTAGCTCTTACACTCAAGTTAGCCCATAGCTCTTCTCTATGTTTTGCCATGTGTCTTGGTACCTTTTCTCATCTTCCTCGTGTCTGGCTGGCGACGGACTCCGCCCTTCCTCTTCCCAGCATTCTTAGTTTGGTTGGACCACTTATACTTCCTGCCTGGCTACTGGCCAATCAGCATTTCATTAAACCAGTTCAAGTGACAAATGTTTAGAGTGTGTAAGAGGATTATTCCACACCAGGGTACACACAGGGTTTTGGAGCTGTACTTGAAAGGGCTTCTAAGAAACCTACCTGAGACCACAGGGTGGATGCTAGGGGGCACCATAATGTTTTTATAAGTACATTTATCCATCCCATTTGTCTTTTTAGTTTTTGAACTTTTACTTTTTTAATTCATAATTTAAAAAAATTCAAATAACAATAACTTTAATTTTAAACACATTTCTTAAGACCAGAACTTGTTCGCCCAGCAACAACTTTATATCAGCATAACTTGACGGGGATTCTTGAAACGGCTGTTAGAGCCACCAACGCCCAGTTTGACAGTCCGGAGATCCTCAGGAGGCTAGATGTGAGGCTGCTGGAGGTATGTGAGGCTGCTGGGGATGTGTGAGGCTGCTGGGGATGTGTGAGGCTGCTGGGGGTGTGTGAGGCTACTGGGGGCGTGTGAGGGTACTGGGGGCGTGTGAGGGTGCTGGGGGCATGTGAGGGTACTGGGAGCGTGTGAGGATGCTGGGGGCATGTGAGGCTGCTGGGGGCGTGTGAGGGTGCTGGGGGCATGTGAGGCTGCTGGGGGCGTGTGAGGGTGCTGGGGGCATGTGAGGCTGCTGGGGGCATGTGAGGCTGCTGGGAGCATGTGAGGGTACTGGGGGCGTGTGAGGCTGCTGGGGGCATGTGAGGGTACTGGGAGCGTGTGAGGCTGCTGGGGGTAGCTGAGTCCCAGTGTCCTCTCTAGTTATTGTGTCAGGCACAAATGGGTCATTCCTGGAAACTAAACATCCTGGTTGTGCTCTGCCCTGTGTTAGAGGAGGCAAGTTCCCCTGCTTAAGTCACACTGTCTTACTAAGGGGACAGCTCCCAAGGCAGACACTGTGCATGAAACAGGTCCCACAGCGTATGGGGGCGTCTCAGATGTTTAGTAGTAAATAGGAGGTGATTCGAGTGGTCAGCAGGCAGGGACCACATCTGCTCCTCAGATCATTGGTGTCTGGGGGTGGAATGACAGCTGGAGGCGAGGCTGTGCTGGAGACGAGGCTGTGAACACGAGTCCTCACTGGCTGACCTTCGGTCACTCCTAGAACCCACTGGTTTTCTTGAAATACAGGCCTTTTGAGGTTTAGGGCCTGATAGGCCGTGTGGTTTTGTCCTAAAACGGTTCTGAACTTTGAACCTGTCTGTAGTGTTTGCAGAGCACACGTGGTGTGTTGCACTCCTCCTCACCACTGTCGATGCTGTGCTGGTGAGGAGGAGCCCTCTGCTCACACAGCAGAGCACTTCCTGGTGTAAAGCCTGTCCGTTACTTTGCCACTGCTTCTTTGAGCAGTTAACAGGTTCTTCAGCAGCAGTAAGTACAAGCCTTTCAGTCGTTTGTTGTTTATTTTATCACTGCAGGTGTCTCCAGGTGACACTGGATGGGATGTCTTCAGCCTGGATTACCACGTCGACGGACCAATTGCCACTGTAAGTCATTCTGTGTCCTCGTGTGATATTCACAGCTGCTGGATTGCTGGACATTTTATTGTTTCTAACTGGCTTTCTTGTCTAAAAACTAAGGTTCCAAGTAATTGTGCTCTTAGGATATGCCCACTGAATGAGTTCCTTAAGCTAGATAATTATTAATGAGAGCTGAAATGCTCTATTATTTTAAGAATTCTTAGAAATATCATTTGTTCTGTCACAGGTTTCAGCAAGTGCTTAATAAACGCATTGTTCGTTTTACACCATTATTCTTAGACTGTAGCAACTAATTTAGGGTAATTTGGAAGGAAGCATAAAGTATATTTTCGGGGAATCGTATTTTTCCTACTTAGATGAAATTTGATATTTAGCATTCATTTAAGCAGATGAGTCGATAACTGTCACATTGTTCGTAGCTCTTTCACTCATGTGTTGAAAAAGAAGGACCATTTCTCCTACCACGTCACAGAAGCTTGCCTAGGGGGATTGTCTTTACATGTCTGCATTAAACTGCCTTTCTTTAGGATTGAGTGAGTCTTCCTGACCACAGAACCCCAGAGACTTAGTCATTTCTGTATCTGAAATGCTGCGGAAATAAATTGTATTTCTTTTCATTATTGGGGCTGTTGGCTAAACAAGGTCTGGCTGGGCTAAAATCCCGTCTAGTGGTGGTTGCAGAGTGCCTTCCAGACTGTCCCTTCTGTGGGGTAAATCACATCCTTGCTGTGATCATTCCATGGAAGCCACATTCACAGAATGCCACGTGTCTTAAGTCCACTGTGGCCTGAGAGCTGTTAGGAGGGTTCTTTGACTCATGAATCCCTTATTTGACTTTGATCAAGTCAGAGCTACTAGTTTAAGTGCGCACCTGTTCTTCAGTTTACTCTTTCGCCGTACTCTGAGTGAGTGGCTTTTCTCCTCAGCTTGTGTCCTGAGTAGTGATTAGTTTGCAAAACCGTGTGCTATTTTAGCAAATTATTTAAGACTTTGTATTATCTGCTTTGTTAGTTTATGTGCATTATGTATTTTCATGCATGAAAGATACAATACCAAGGCCTGGGATGTAGCTCAGTGCTAGAGCACTTGCTTAGCATGTGTGAGTAAGGTCCTGAGTTCCATCCTAGGCCCCAAAGCCAAAGATGCCATAGTAAAGATAATTGCATCGACTGTTAAAAAAGTGAAAGTGCCTTGATGAGGCGCTGGGTGGGTGGTCTAGGTGTGTCATGTCAGAGTGACATTGTGTGCTGTGTAGAGCTAAGACTCAGGTTTTGAATACAGCTTTAGCAGGACTGAAGAAAAACAGTTCATACCACAACTTTATTTCAATGACACATCTGTGACAGCTGTGTCTGGTCCACAGGGTCAGTTTGTAGCCAGCTGAGTTGTTGTGACAGCAGCTTTGGATGCCAGATGGAGGAAGAAGGAGGAGGAGGACTCGGGCTGTTTGGTAGCTCAGCCAGGAATGTGGGGTGGGGTGGGTGGGTGGGGGGGGTGCTCTCCTGCATGACTTCAGTGTTGTTCATGGGTGGTGAAGTTTTATCAGTTTTATCAGTTGCCATAACTATAGGCATATTCTCACACAAGCACAAGTGTTCAAACTAGTATTGAGCTTTGTTTGTCAGATCTAATTGTATGTAGAAGTTGCCGAGATAGAAAAGGAGGGGCCGGGGAGAGGGCTCAGTGAGTTAAACTTTGCTGTACTGGCTTGATGACAGCAGTTCAGGTCTCCGGCTCTCATGCTGAGGGGATGTGGCAGCCCTCCTGCCCAGTGCACAGGAAGCAGAAGCATGAACGTCCCCGGAATGAGCTTGCTGTGGACGAGCTGAATTAGTGAGATCTGGGTTCAAATAAGAGACTCTGTCTCAATAGTAGATGGAGAGCAGTTGAAGACATCTGGTGCATATGCACCCATTACACACACACATGCCGAAAGAAAAACACGAAAGATAAAAGGGAGCCTATTGTATAAATACAGTTTTTTTTTCTGCTTTTCCCTTGGTTAATTTGTGTGTTACCTGCTTCCGTTCTATTCTCATTAATTGAGGTTCTCATTTTGAACAGAAGTTAATTATAGTAAGAATAAATCTTGTAGCAATCATATTATTATATCTTGTATAATAGCAATGTTAGCTTCTACTAATTCTAAGATATAAAATGTCAGTGAAATTTTTGGGTAAGTCTAATTTGGGACGTTGTGAAATTCACAACCCAGGTTACTGAAGAACACATTAGCTAAATACAGCTCATTAACTATATGAAGTATTTCTGGTTGACCTTGCTTTTCATGAGTCTCAAGTTATTTGTGGTAAAGTCCATCCAGATTGAAGTGTGGTGAGGTCACTGAGTCTTGATTCCAGCTGCAGAAGGCTGATTTGGAGGCCGAGCATGCTGTGTGCTAGGGCCTGAGGTTGGTGAGGGAGGCTGAGAACAGGGCATCATCAGGGTTGCTGTCCCACACTGGGCAGGATGGAGACTTGCTCGCTGTTGAGGTCTCTGCAGATGAGGAGGAGTCTGGAGCTTGCTGCCGTATGTCTGGACTATAGTTTCCCTTCGGTGAGCTGCGGAGCCAGATGGTGAAACTGCTGTGGGCGACTCTAGGTTCCTGGACAAAGCAGTGGGTGTCTTCCTCCTACGCAGTCAGTACATGAAAGAGGGCTTAACTGAACTGTTTAAATCAGTGAGGATGTGGTACTTCAAAGGCCACTCTAGGATGTATCATGTCTACAGAGAAGAATCTAGTGATTGACTCATGGCATCTAATCAGTCATGTTAATCTGTTATCACAGAGTGATCATTAGCAGTGTAGGAAGCAAGTGGTACACAGATAATCCCCCAGGCCCTGGATTTGATTTTCAGATTACTTAAGAGCAGTTTTTAGTCACTCCTGTGTGTAGCTGTTTGCATGCCCTCCACCGTCCTCCTCCTCCTCCTCCTCTTCCTCATCATCATCATCATCATCATCATCGAGTGCCTTCCAGAGCTGTAGGAGGAAGTGCTAAATGGTCTTATTAATAAAAAAAAACCCAGAGCCAAATAACCTGCCACCCAAGGAACAACATGCCAGCAGACCAGTAAAGCCATGGAACATGTGGCAAAACATAGATTAATAGAAATGGGTTAATTTATGATATAAGAGCTAGCTAGCAAGAAGCTTGAGCCATAGTCCATCCAGATCATAATTAATATAAGCCTCTGTGTGTTTATTTGGGTCCGAGCATGGGTGGGAGAGATTTGTCTGGATCACAGGGCCGGGCAGGACCAGAGAAACCTTCAGGCTACACAGAGCCTGCCATTGAGTGGTGTAGGGGGATGCATAGGCGGTCCTTGTCGCATAGATGTGCGAGGTACACAGACGAACACAAGCTAAGCTGACGTGTAAGGAGCAAGGTTAAAGTTCCAGGTGTCTCAGGAGACTGGCATGGAGTCCAGATGGACCAGTGTGAGATGAAAAGGTAGGTTGAGCAGCACCCCAGGGGCTCCTGTAAAGGCCAGAGGACAGACATGGACGAGGCAAGGTTCTTTTGGGATCCGAGCTCCCTCAGAGCAGAGTGTGGCCTTCCTCCTGTGCTGAAGGCATATCCTGTGCAGGGTCGGGGCAGGCAGCTGTGACGGAGGGTGTGTGTATGTGCTTCCTCCGGTGGCACTCACCTGGACTAAATTCCGTATCGTTTACCTGATGTTCAGGTGTAACTAGATAGCCTGAATGTTTATTTGTGACACTTAGCCAGCGCAGGAGGGATGACAGGAGGAGGGCAGAAGGGGTCTCTTTATCAGGACCCGTCACTTGGGAAGCCACATCAGGGCATCAAATAGAGGTGTTGGGATGGAGTCATTAATCCTGTGATCATGACCTCAGGGTCGAGATGCTGCTAGGCTAGCCTCTGCTTTTGTGGCTGTTGTCACTGAAGCAAGTGACCCTCAGTGTCTCTTAGAAGTGGGGGTCACAGTCAAGTGTCCAAGTTTAGACTGATGTGGGTTGCGTTTAAAGTCCTGGCGAGTTATGGCTAGAGAGTTGGCTCAGTGGTTAAGAACACTTGCTGCATTCCAGAGGACCATGTTCTACTCCTAGTGCCCACACAGCGGCTCACAACTGTCTGTAGCTGGAGTCCCAGGGGATCCAGCGTCCTTTTCTGGCCTCCAGGGATACCAGGCCTGCACATGGTATACAGGCACACATGTAGGCAAAACATAAAGCATAAAATAATTGGAAAAAAAAAAGCTGGGCATGGTGGTGCACACCTTTAATCTGAGCACTTGGGGGCAGAGGCAGGCGGGGCCTCTTGAGTTCGAGGCCAGACTGGTCTACATAGCGAGTTCTAGGACAGAGAAACCCTGTCTCGAACCGGATGGGGAAAGAAAAGTCCTGGTGAGCTGTCTTCCTGCCATACCACCTCTGCCCTGTGTCTCAACTCCAGGACTGATGGGAACATAGGTGCCACTGCTGCTACTGGGAGTCTGCCTGCCTGGCCTACAGGGACCACATGACTGTTATGGTTACGGTGTGGTTCTCCAGGAGCGTGCTGCCCTCCTTACTTGTGTACCGTCTAGGATGTGCGGGAGCCCTGGGTTTGCTGATTTCGGGAGGCTAGGCCCCGGACTAGGAAACTCTTTGCACAAGCCACGGCCTGTCTTTTGTCTCTGTAGGTGTTCACACGAGAGTGCATGGGCCACTACCTGAGAGTGTTTAACTTCCTGTGGAGGGCCAAGCGCATGGAGTACATCCTCACTGACATCCGGAAAGGACACATGTGCAATGCGAAACTCCTGAGGAACATGCCAGGTAAAGCCAGGGGAGGCCAGCGGAGCCTGCCACCTCGGTGCCGCGTTCCAGCAGCGAACGTGAGAGTCTCAGAGTAACTGCGCTGGAAGGATTCACTGTCGCGCTCTGAGTTTGGTTCTGTGAAAAGGCTTATTTGGATCATTGTGTCTTGACTTCGTTAGAGATTTAGAGACAATTAAGTCAGGGTGCATTTTTTCCCGGGCCATGAAGATTCTTTTAAAATCACATTTGTTTTTTCACGGATGTTCATGGGTATAGTTTAACGAGTGCCTGAGACTGTGTATGTGCACTGTGTGTGCTTGGTGACATGGGACCGGAGGAGGGTGTTGGGTCCCTGGAACTGGCATCACAGACAGTGTGAGCTGCCATGTGGCTCCTGCCCTCGAGCCCAGAGTCTCTGAAAGAACAGACTGCGCTCTTAACCACTGAGCCGCGTGCCAGCACCTAGTTTAATTTTCAAGGAAGGAAAACCTTCCAATAGGTCCTTGTTCATTTAAAATTCACTTAGTGTCTTAATTATATTCTCTTGGAGGTGTTAATTTTTATTTTGACCACTATCCAGGATGTGGATATGTTTTATATTTTGTAATTTAGTACTATAGTTAAGACATTTAGGCATTTAGTCAAGATTTTGTTAATGTTACAATATTGAATTACTTCAATTATGAATAATTTTGAGTTCATTATATTGAAATCGATTATGAAAACATTTCATAAACCTCCAAAGAACAATTGAACTGAATCTGCCCTTTGATTAGTAAAATTAATCTTTATAAATAAGCAGCAGTTGTTTGAAGGAAGAGGTTTCCTCATCACTACTTCGGTTGTAGGCTGACTCTAGACAGCTTCCAAAGTTCCAGACGGACAGCAGGCAGTGGCGGCCACCCAAACCAGGATGACTGCAGACAAGAGTGGCCTGTACCAGGGTCTTGACACAACCAGATAGTCACTGATGCTGGTCCCTGGTTGGTGGCTGAGGAGGAATGGGATGCGGCTGCTTTCCTGTTCCTGTGATGAAGCGGACAGTGTGGCGGATGAGCATGTCTCCTCCCAGCCTTCTCTCTCACAAAGCAGCTGGCCTCTTAGTCCTCAAGGAGAAAGAACAGTGTCTGTGCAGAGCTGAGGCAAGGCTTGCGCAGTGAGGTGCGGCCCCTCCCTGCCCCTGTCTGACCCTGCAGTTGTGTTTTCTTTTGTTTAAGCTGTTGGCTTACTCACGGAGATGCACAGTGACATTTAGACAAGTGTGGAAGAGTGTTCATTCTCTGGGAGGGCTGACAGCAGAGCGCACTGGTTGGAGGCAGTGCAGTCTGTTATGTGTAAGATACATAAGTAAGTGGCTGCAGGTTGGCGTAGTGGTTTAGAGTACTCTTGCTCTTGCTGAGGACCCAGGTTCAATTCCCAGCACCCACACGATGGTCACAAACACCTGTTACTCCAGTCCCAGAGGAACTGATGCCCTCTTCTGACAGCCTCCAGCCCCAGCATGCATGTGATGCATGTGCATACATGCAGGCAAGCTGACACTCATACAGCAATAAAACAAATACTAATTTATCATCAGATAGTAAGAACAAATAAATCTAAAGAAGCGTCAGTCATAATTCCCTTTGAAATTAGTGTGTATGAAGCAGCACATTACGCCTGGACTAAAATGGTGACATAACACTCTGCTTCTCTGACCGCCGAGTAGGACTGCTCCTGCTGGTTGGGGTCTGCAGTGAGGCCATGCCCCCGCCGAGTGCTGTGTCTGCCCTGGAGGCGCCCTTTCAGGTGCGCAGTCACCAGTCAGTCCCAGAACCTCTCGGGAGGCATTGTGGAGACCTCCTGTCACATGTCCTTCCCTTCAGTGGAGAGCAGTCCAAGGCTGAGCGAGGGAAGGGACGGCCAGTGTTCTATGATCGTATGTCTGTACCGTGGATTGAGTTTTAAGTTTATTGGAAGGCAAAAATGGAAGCCTTGGAAAATGAGTCACAAACAAGCTAAAGTGAACCAAAGATGGAAGGCCTGTGGAGGAACCCAAGTCAGCTTCAGAAGCCCTGCACAGAAGCCATGCACAAGGAGCCTGGAAGAAGGCATATATGACAGTTTCCCGGTCACTGCGTTATAGGAAGCTTTGGTGACTGGATGTTGGATGGGTGCCTAGGAGTCAGCCTCCTCCTGCGTCACAGCCTCACTTGCCGCCGCCGCTGCTGCTGACGTCTTCTGCCCAGTGTTCTTCTCTGCCAGGCTTGTCCCTGCAGCAGACAGTAAAGGTGGGGAGGCTGAGCCAGCCTGTCGTCTCCTGAGAGCCACAGGAAACCAAGGGTTCGCCTTCTGCATACGTTCTGTTGGTTTTCTTTTAACCACATTTTATCACGTCTGAAGTGAGCACCGTTACTCTGTCTGCACTCTTGGGGTGTGTCTGCAGCTGCTGAGCCGCAGCTATCGGGGGCTGCATTGCCTGCATGTGTGACGGCCACAGCCGTGCCGGCTGCCTTTGGGAGGATGGCAGTGGTTCTGGACTGAGGTGTAGAAAGGCAGTTTGCATGCATTGCTAATTGTTGTAGGGAGAAGAGTGGCACTGAGGAGTGACTTCAGCTACAGTCTGATGTGCAGCGCAGCCAGTCTGCTTGGCCGCCGTGTTCTTTGTGGTGACCTAGTTAATAATGATACCTCTCACAGCGATGGTGCCTTACATGTCTTCCTCTTCAAACCCTGTGTGTGCGGAAACAGCTCTCTGCCTGCCTCGACAGCGCCACCGTCTACGAGATGAAATCTGCAAAAAAGTCCTCAGAACAGCACCCAGCTTTGCCCAGCCGTGAGCCGTTGTCTTTGTGAGTGACACTTGCCTGTAATTCACACACACGGAATGAGGTTAGGAAGAGCATGAGGGCAGTTGATGTTGAACACAAGACATGAAGAAAAATGCTAGTTCCTGGAGCATCTTTAAATCCGAAGTGTTGGAAAATGAATCAGCTAGGAATTTGATGGAGCCACCTTAAACAGAGCAGGGCCAGGGGAAGTGCAAGTTGGGGAGCGTAGTTTGAAGCTTCGATGAAACTGCCTTAGGGCATTTCTGTAAAAAGAAATCTTGGACTTAGGGCCTGTCCAGGAGCACCCTGCTGAAGATGCCTGGGACACTGAAGATCTTTGAGTAGCCTTTAGAGGGCGGTAGACAACCAGGAATGAATCTATCTACGTCTTGGTAAGCAGAAGGGAAGGCTGGTCATTCAGAAGATTTGAGTATCTGCCTGCATTTGTGTGTGCACCATGTGTGTGCCTGGTGTCTTCAGAGCTGGAAGAGGGTGTCGGGTCTCCGGAAATTGGCATGACTGACAGTTGTGAGCTGTTATGTGGGTACTGAGAAACAACCCAGGTCGTCTGCAAGAACAGGAAGCGCTCTTAACCGCCAAGCCATCTCTCCAGCCCCCAATAGACATTCCTAACTTGGTGTGTAAAACTGGGTGTTAACCCAGCGGGGTACACTTGTATGTTCATTGCACCTCAGTGCTGGTTGGTGTTGCTCTGAGACCATTCTTACAATTTTTACGGTTCTTCTGGGCCATCATAAAACATTCTTTAAGCATGTATTTTGTATGCATTTTCAGGGTACTGGATAGAGAGTCAGGGGATAACAGGTACAAGTTATATTTTCAGGTATAAAGGAATATGCTGTGCTTTTAAATAAAGTCCATATTCCTCAGCCTACCAGCAGCTGGCAGACTGTTTGGACTCCTTGGCCAGAGGGGACAGCCATGAGGGTAACAGATTTCAGTCGTGCCTGGAGGGGTTGTGTTCTTAACTTTGTTTTCCAACAGCCAGTGACCTCTGTCAGTTGTTACTATGGAAGAGTGTCTCCTTTACAAGGTGAAGTGACAGGTTTTCCTAGGAAGAAAACAATGTCTGTCCTGTGTGCAAACTGAAGAAGGCGTATGTTAACATTGGCCCGTGTGGCCCTGGTCACGCAGGTCTGTGGGCAGGGTTTGAGTACTGGGATGAAAGTGAATGCAAGCAGCTTTCTAACTGGATCGCTCAGCCTGGAGGCTGTTGCAGGAGGTGCTCAAAGTGCACAGATGTGAGGTAGCGTGCCCTGATACCCATGGAGGTTTCAGTGTGCACCACTGGGGTCCAGGGAGGATCCCGTGGAACATTCACCATCAATGGGGGACAGGCAGAGCCCTTTCTTTCCAGCTCGGGGTGAAAACCCAGAGTAGATCTGCAGAGACTTTCCTCTGAGGTTGCAATCATGCATAGCTGAGCACCTCTAGACAGAGGAAGGCTATGTCCTCTGCGTGGAAATCAGAAGTCCAATTGTATGGCTAGAGCGTTAGGTTAGCTAGTCCGGTTTCAGTAGAGAAAACCACACTCTGTTCTATGCTTCAAGAGAACTGGGAAGCATAGTCTCCTTGTCAGATGCATGTCCACCCTCATGTGACTTTTCCCAGGGAGATGTGAACAGATGTCTGCTCACTCCAGACAGGGAACCAAGTCAGACCACAGTAGGAATTACCCTGAAGTTGAGCTCTGCAGACCAGTGAGTTTATTGGGGTCAGGAGTATTGGGGAGGCGCTACTTGATGGAGCATGTGTGACTCAGAGGTGTAGATGTAACCAACGGTCTTATTAAATGAGAAACACAGAGCCGATTCAGAGAAGAAAGCCAAGAGGTCAGAGCTAAGAGCCTCACCCTTCCTGATTCAGGGATCCTCTTCAGCCAAGAGAGCTTTCCGAAAAAAGGGGACCTACTTCCTGTGTGTGTCTTTATATAGTCCAGCTGTTCTGCCTTCTCATTGGTTGTAAACCGAAACATGTGACTGCCTCGTCACTGCCTGAATGTACCGCCCTCCAGGTCCTTAAAGGCGTGCGCCACCGCAGCCATGCACTTGCTATGGCTCTAATAGCTCTGACCCCCAGACAACTTTATTTATTAACATACAATTAAAATCACATTTCAGTACAAGTAAAATACCACCACACAGAGGCAGCTGCATCACCGGAACCCCATCCTGGCTTGGGTACGGCTAACCTAAGCTGTGTCCCTGGAGCTGGCTCTGCACCCCTGTAGATGCGCAGGCAGCTGGACGGGTTGACAGGCCTCTTCCTGGTGGTGTCCCTGCACCTGTAAAGACAGGCCTTACAGCTTCTCTGGACTGGGAAGGCCTATATTAATAGGTTCACCCACCTCCTTCCGTCTGCTGGGACTGTTGCAGTTCAAAGAAAATGGCTACACAACAGCTGTATTCATAGATTCATTGAATTCAGATTCCAAATTGGGGCGGTGGGGGGGGTGGGGCGGGGGGAACGGGACCTGTGGAGTGTGATACTCTTCTGAGGGGCCTGTGCTGGATGCTGGGTAGGTGCACTCCTGTTGAAGGCTGCTAATAGTCACAGGGGAAGTGGCATGACACCTGTTGTGTGGACACAGAGCTCTCTTCAGCTCTCTGGGGTCCTGGTGGGAGCAGTAAGGAATCTTTGGAGTTTTGTAAGGAAGGTGTTGTGACTTCTGGCCAGAGAAGCATAGGGACCCTGGGGCCTGTCGCTGTGGATCCACTGGACTGAGTGCCTTTGCACAAAACCACTGTGTTTTTAGACGCCTCTGGTGCCTGACACTCCCCGGGGAGTCTGTGTTCACTCCAGATCGGGAAGGTAGCTGCAGAATTCCACCCCAGTGCAGGTTAGCGAACCAGTGGATTTAGTGGGGTACTCAGAGGAGCAAGGGCAGCTTACGTGTGCCTAAGCCACGAAAGAAGAGTTTCCTTCTTCCCCAGCAGTGGTAATTGCTGGTGTATCCCGGGGGAAGGGCTGGTCAGACTCGTGCAGTTTGTCCACAAGGGCCTGTTAGTGGTTCCACCTGGGAGAGTCTGCAGTAATCACAGCTGCTCTGATTTGAAGATGTGCTGGCCATGTCTTGGCCAGAGGACGGTTTTGCAATATCCTGGTTTAGCTTCCTGACTCCCAGGCACTTGCCTGAGGGACACTGTACCAGTGCCTTCTCCCTTCGAAAAGGAGGCTGAGGACTCTGCCATTTCACTCTGCATAAAAAGGCTCTGCCTCCTAAACAGCACTGTTTTCATTTGTGTTTGGATTTATTTATTTACGTGTGTGCGTGCGTGCGTGCGTGCGTGCGTGCGTGCGTGCGTGTGTGTGTGTGTGTGTGTGTGTGTTAAAGATAGGCCAACTCTGGGGAGTTGTACTCCGCTTCTCCCTTGTTGGTTCTGGGGCCTGAGCCCCGGGTGTTAGAATTGTGACAAGCCCCTTTACCCGATAGGTACCCTTCTGGCTCTTGAAAAATTAAGAGTCTTTTATTATTGCCAAACATGATTTATTTAGGATTTATACTTTTTTCTTTCTCACAAAAGAAATGGTGCCGTGTCTTCATGGGGGTCACGTTGGTCACAGTGTGTCAGAAGTGCCCACCCTCCTTGAGTGCACCCTCATTAGGAGGCCCGCGAGCAGCATCTGCCTCCTGTGTTTCCCTCCCCCGTTCCACAGGCATGCTTCCCAGCCCTCCTCAGGTTCCCTAGGGTCACACTTGCTGCTGCCTGCCCATGTGACTGCTTGCACTCATGTGCACAGTCTGTACGAACCACTGGTTTATATGATTGCACTGGCTGTGTTAACCATTCGTTGAAGAATTTGAGTTTTCTTTTAAACTTGGGGTCGTGTTTCTGTCCCTCCTCTCTTGACCAAATGTCTCCAGCCTTTAAGGTGTGTCTTTGATGTCATGCTCTCTGGGAGGCACAGTCCTACAGAGTCCCTCACCTGTCACTTAGTTTTCCTTTGTTAGGACTGCTGTTATTTATTAGGACCAGCACCACAAGCTGGGTCACTTAAAACATCAACTGTTAATTGTGTCAAACATTCTAAAGGCCAAAAGTCCCCAGTGAAGGTGCAGTCAGTCCCATTCTGCTCCCTCCGAAACCTGGGCAGGCCTCTCCTGCATCCTTTTGCTACCAATGCCGGCAGCATTCCGCACATGCATGTCTGCTCCCTGGAGCCCCTGCCTTTTCTTCTCACTGAATTAGGGCCCACCCTGAGGCCCTCTTGTCTCCAGATGACTAGGGGGATGTAACTAGTCCATGTGTGGTGGATGGGCCAGAAGCAGAGAAGGCGTAAGGCTTCTGTTTATGCATGTGCGCCCATGACCAAGCACAGAGACCAGAAGAGGGCATCATCTAGTGTTCTTCTCTGTCACGTTGCACCTTTCTCCCTAGGCTGCCAGTCAAGCAGCCCCTGAGAGCCCCTGTCTCTGACCCTCTAATCCTGGAGTTCCAGGCATGCACAACCGTGCTTAGCCTTTTACATGGGTACTGGGGATCTGAAATCACGTCCACGTGCTCGCAAAGCAAGTACTCCTACCACCGAGCCATCTCCCCAGCGCTGTACTTACCTGTTAAATACGATTGTATCTTGTTTCTTGCTGTTCCTCCTCAGGCCTCCTCTTTGATAAAGTAATAGTCTCTCCTTGATTGGGTAGCCAGGTCCTTAGCTAAAGCACAGAAGTGGGTGGAGAACTGGTGTCCTGCTCAGGGCTCTGGAATAAGGCTTGTGGCTTCATCAGGAGGCAGCTTGCGGCAGAGGTCTGTGCTGTCACCAAGCACCTCCTCTGGTGACACCCTGTCTCTTCCAGAGTTCTCTGGGGTGCTGCACCAGTGTCACATCCTGGCCTCCGAGATGGTCCACTTCATTCATCAAATGCAGTACTACATCACCTTTGAGGTAAGCCCGCTTCCGCCCCATGCTGTGTGGCTCAGCAGTGTGAGAGGTGATGCCTTCAGAAGAATAGACCCTCCCAAGTCTCAACTCGTCCTTTCAGGTTCTTGAGTGCTCCTGGGATGAGCTTTGGAACAGAGTGCAACAGGCCCAGGACTTGGACCACATTATCGCAGCACATGAGGCGTTCCTGGACACCATCACCTCCCGCTGTCTCCTGGACAGCGACTCCAGGGTAAGGCTCACTCCTCCAAACCAGGACTGAAGCTGTCTAACACAGCAGCTTGGGATCAGTGATCACTGAGAAAGGCTCATTAAACTGGTATTTGAGGGTCACTTTCTGAACAGAACTGAAGTAAAGGTGAAATGAGCGCATGCTCTCACAGCTGCCATGGCTGTGACGGTGGTGAGCAGCAGTACACTGTTGACGGTGTATGGAGCAGAATCCGTCATGAACGGCGGCGCCCTTGGACACCAGAAAGGCACCTAAACATCAGAACAAGTGGTGGCATGTATCAGAGGCCCAGAGAGTGCAGAAATCTAGAGCTCTGGACGTCTTCCTCTTTCTCCCTGCTGGGAATCAGTCCCAGGGCCTTGCATACCCTAGACTGAGCACCCCATCCTATGGTCATGTTGTTAGTCTAGGGATAGTGGTGTTTTAGTTAATGTGTATGGCTGCATGAATTCGAACAGACTGTGTACATCTGAGCTTGAGCATCTCCTGGCCAGGACTTTCTGCTGAATTCCTTTCTTGTAGAGGGCCCTGTTCTGGGAAGGTGCTGGGTATTAAGGCTCTGGGGTTCTGATTTCCTTTAAAGATCTGGCTCAAGAAAGAACACGTTCTGAGCTTGAAGTAGGGAGACTGTGCATCTGGGTGAAGTACCAAGAGCGTTTCTCAGTGTGCACTGCTCGAGACACATTCCAGGCATGTAGGGCGTGCTTCTGCCTATACTTTACCAGGGCTTTTGTTTTGTGTTCCAGTCCTCTGCATTAGCCTACTGTGGTGGAGAAAAGTATTGGATAAACTTCATTGTTACAGTGTGACAAATAGTGATCAAAGGCACATCTATGTGGAATTTGCTTTCCAGATACTGAAATGATGGCATAGAAGTGTGTTGTAATGTACTTTGAACATAATTAGTAACTCATGCAATGTGCATCTGAAGTGGTCTGGGGTCCTGTTGACCACTTTGACTAGGTCCAGTCTCTGTGAGGTTTATATTACAGTGGGTATCACATCTGTCACCTGACACCCATGTTTGTTATGAAGGTGGTCTTTGGCCATTCTGTGATGTGCCATAGACATGGAACATGTGGGCCAGAGTCAGTGTTCACACCAATGACAGCCTCTCCTTGTGACTCCAGGGTTCTTCTGTTTCCAGTGGCACAATGTAAATTTGTGGGAATTAAATGATATGACTCACCATGGTAACCAACTTGTAGATGTAGCTGCTACCTTTTTTAAGCTGTTGAAGTCATGTTTTATGTTGTTTTGCATAGGTTGAACAGATGTGAATGTCACCAGATGTAATGTTGGAATTGCTAAGGACTGCACCTGCTTGGGCACCCTGTTAAGTGTGTTCTCTCTGGCTCTGCTAACATGGGGGCTGAGCCATGAAAGGATAGGGAATGACTATGAGACAAGTTGAGTCACCCCGGCTCTCGCCTTTATAGACTAGCAGATATGAGCAGAGTCCAGAGATTCTGCTGCTGCCTGCCTGTGGGACGGTGGTCATGGGGAGTGTTTGGGGTGGGTCCCAACCAGCTCACTGAAGGAGCCTCGCCCCAGGCACCAGCAGGCCTGGAACTGTGCCTTCCTGGGTGTTTAATGTAATCAATGGCTGTTGTTTGTTGTGTTAGGACAGGGTCTGCTCTGTAGCTCATAATGCCTGGAACTCGTGGTCCTCCTGACTCCAGAGGACTTTGTCATTGCTTGTTCCTAAAAAGAAATCTCTTGTATAAAACAGAGTAAGGCAATCTGTTGTGGACATAGTAATTTCAAGTGTGGTACTTTGATTATGCCACTTGTGAAAAAGTCAATGATGACAATACACAGAGCTAGTTGGAAGGAGGAATGACAGGTGCAGATATGTGTGTGTCTCATCCTTTGTTTGTGCAGTGTTGAAAACCCTGAGCAGCCCACTGAGAAGGTGCAGGCTGGAGGCAGCATGAAGCATGCAGTTGCAGACCCCTGGAGCATGCAGTTGCAGACCCCTGGAACAGACCAGTACCCACAGTGCACATCCCACTTAAAGGAAACATCAGTTAGTGACCTCAAGGGCAATGCAGTGTTCCAAAAAGAAGGTTTTGTTGTTGTTTTTCACATGACTACAACAGAGAAACTAGAGAGCTACATCCTTATCAAATTTAAATGGAGCTGTCTCCATCCTTAGTTTTCTAGTTTTACCGTAATAAAATTCTGACAGAGAACAGGATGAGCTTGCTTGAGCCTGTGGTCAGAACCAGCCGTGTGGCTGCCTGTCAGGAATGGCATCCCCTGGTCGGGTCCTTCTGACTGTCTGCATTGCTGTGCAGTTGAAGGACCCAGGTCACATGAGTGCATTACGGGAAATGAGAACCAGGGATTGTTTATTTACAGTGTCTGTTCTTGGGTTAGCTTGTCCTCAGAGTTGCTCAGCAAAGGCTCCAGTTCTGTTTGACTGGAGAGTCAGTTAGCTCAGCTGTTGGTGACGCTGCCTGACATCTCAGCTTGGCCTAGAGATGGGCAGTAGGGATAGCGTCATTAACTGTGGAGTGAGTGTGGGATAGCTGCTTCTCTCCAGGCTGGCTGGAGTACATCTTCTAAAGTGTGGTGGTTTGAATGAGGATGGCTCACATGTTTGAAGGCTTGGTCCCCAGTTAGTAGAACTGTTTGGGAAGGATTAGAAGGTGTGGCCTTGTTGGAGGAGGTGTGTCACTGGGGCTGAGCTTTGAGGTTTCAAAAGCCCAGGCCAGGTCCAGTGTCTCTCTGCCTGCTGCCTATGGATCAGGATGGAAAGCTTTCAGGTACCTCTCCAGTGCCGTATCCATTTCCCTGCCATGATTTTGGAATTAAATGTTTTTTAGATGAGTTGCCTTGGTCCTGGTGTCCCCTCACAGCAATAGAACAGTAACTAAGACACTAAGCAAGGACTGGGAGGAGCCTCTTCATTTAGACACACACAAAGCACACACGTGGTATTTACTGAGTGTGTATACATCCTCAGTTCACACTTTGTGCAGTACGTTACTTTAGAATAATCCATTCTCAAGAGTCAGAATTTCAGTGCTGTGGGAATCCAACAGCCACCAGTGAGCAGCATTAACCACTTTGGTAGGGTGGAGACCTCATTACCCAAACGCTTCCTAGTCACACTCCTCCAACATGGTTATACTGGGGACAGTGTCTCTGCGGTTTAGAGGGCAAAGCACTAGTACAATATCTTTGAGTAGAGATACCTCACTAGCACGTTGAGATTCTGTTCATTTGAGAACACTGTGTCTTTTCAGGTACTTTTAAATCAACTCAGAGCTGTGTTTGATCAAATTATTGAACTTCAAAATGCCCAAGATGCAATGTACAGAGCTGCTCTGGAAGAATTACAGAGACGACTGCAGTTTGAAGAGAAAAAGAAGCAGCGTGAAATCGAGGTATGGTTTTTAACTCAAGCTCTCACTGTTGGCCGGCAGTCTGGGCAGCAGCAGCAGCTTTCCTGCTGAAATCGGCACACACACTGAACCGGGTGCAGTCCGCTCCATTCGGAGGACATTCTGACTGCTGTCCCATTGACTGGTGTCCCGCTGTCCGAACTGGACACTGTCTGTACTGTTGTCTCCAGAGTCGGCCTGGCGCGCTGTTACTGACTTGAAGCTAAGGGATCAGACACCCTGACTTGCTTACTGACGCATGAGCTAGGTTTCCTTTGGACATTTTTGTGTATTCCCAGTAGCCTGAAATAAGTAAGATCCATTAGACAAGTCAGGCCGGTGGTGGGGTTCCTGTTCTTGCTCGCCTGGACTGCTTTGTCTAGGTGCTTGTCCTGGGGTCATGAAAGGCAGGTTGTTTAGTCGGCAGCTAGGCTGGGTTACTGCCAGCCCATGTGAGGGGCCTGGCAGCCATGTCACAGGCACTGAAGTATGGTGGGGTTTGGAAGCAGGAGGATGTGTCCTTTTGGTACTCCTGGGTTATCTCCTGGCTGCAGTGGTTTGTGGGTACTTCTGAAGAGCCCTGGGATTTGCACACACATAATCTCCTGATCCATGCCAAGCAGCCTGTGTGTGACTGACAGACGCAAGATTCTGATAATAGCTCGATGGCTGGTTGTGTGCATGGAGGTGGTCTTCCCAGATGTCAACTATCAGTGACAGAAGGGACACAGCCACGTAAGTGTGGCCTTATTTGGGTGTGTTTTAGAGAGAGAGAGGGGGAGAGCCGTAATGCTGAAACTACCTGCCAAATTTATTTAAATCCAAAAGGTAAAGTAATTTTGCAACAGTCATGCAGATGTGGGTCCACTGGATCTGGAGAGATGGAGCTGGCCCCTGAAAGGGTTTCAGCGCTTGAGTGCCTTGCTGCGGGGGTTGGCTTCCGATTCTGTCATGCTTCTGTTAGGTGGAGCGGTCCCAGAGGTCCTTCCTTCTGCAATTCATGGCTCCTCTCTACTCTCTTCCCACTTTTCCTCTCAAAACGTCTTCTGTTATTATGATATTTCCAATTCAAATTTAGGATTGAAGGGCTTTTACTTCCTTTAGTTTTACAAACTACATTTTATACATTGACACTCTTGGTTCTGGCATTAGCATACTTCCTGCTGCCTGTGACACCCACACTTCTGTACACACCCCTGTGCTCAGTAGGATTGTGGGACCAGTACCAGCCACAGTAATTGGAAAACACCGTGACTAGTGTTACTTCCCGAGGATCTGTCTCACTAGGTGATGCATGCAGAGTCACGTTGTCCTGTCCCGGGAAGTGGGTTCATAATGTTAACCTCTCATCTCAGTGCACATTAACTGGATTCATTTCTGCTGTTCTCTGTATAGTAGAACGTGGATGTGAAACTACAAAATTTTTACTAATTGATGTACCAAATGGAAAATACATACAGAACATTTGAGATCATTCCAAGAATACAGAACTCTTTGTATTGGTCTAATAACTCACTGTACTCACTTTTGCAAAATAAAGGAAGAGATTAATTAATCCCCAGGAAGATCTGACTAAAGCTCTGGGTGGCAGATCTGCCCATTGGTGAAATGCTGAGAGCGTCTTAGGTGAGCGTGAGACTGGGAACTGCGGGCTTTGCACACTGCACCGACGGTCGCCCAGTGTGAGCATGGCAGGGAAATAGGCTCTTCGGCAGAAGTGCTGGGCATGAAATCCGAGATGACCCTGCGGTGAGTTATTGGCATCAATAAGTGTGTTTTTCCAGCTATTTAGAAATCAGAGTTAACATGCAGCGGTCAGTTTTCTTTCTATCAGTGGCAATTGTGATGGACGTTTAAAAGAAATGCCACTAAAAAGAATTATGATCTGCACATTTCCATAAGGAACTCCACAACTTGACTTCCTTGAAGTTTCAGTATCCATCAAGGCTGCTGGAACCAGTCCCCTGGGGATCCTGATGTTCTTCCGATTGTAACAATCCATCCTGAGGAAAGCAATTTAGGGGAGAAAGGGTTTCATCTTAGGGGTGAAAGGGTTTGTTTCCGCCCACAGTTCCCGGTTCATGGTGGAGGAAGCTTGAGGGAGCTGTATCAGCCATCAGGAACAGAATGCATGTGATCAGCCAGGGCCCAGCAAATGACAGTTGAGGTGGGTCCTCCCACCTCAGTTAACAGTTTAGAAAATCCCTCCCAGGCTTGTCTCTAGGCCAGCCTAATCTGGGCAAGTCTTCACGGACACTCTTCCCAGGTGATTATACATTTTATCAATTTGATAACTAAAACGAATCATTACAACTCCCTGCTTGTCTGCCTGACACACAAATACATTACTTTAAGCCACACCCCTCTGTCTTAGTTAGGGTTTCTGTTGCTGTGGTGATACATCATGACAGAAAGCAAGTGGAGGAGGTATTTGGCTTACTCTTACACATTGTAGTCCATCACTGAGTGAAGACAGGACAGGGACTCAAGCAGGGCAGGAACCTGGAGGCAGGAGCTGATGCAGAGGCCGTGGAGGAACACTGCTCACTGGCTTGCTCATCACAGCTTGTTCAGCCTGCTTTCTTATAGAAGCCAGGACCACCAGCCCAGGGATGGCACCACCCACCATGGGCTGGACCCTCCCCCATCAATTGCTAATTAAGAAAATGAACCATAGGTTTGATTACAGCACAGTCTCATGGAGGCATTTTCTCTGTTGAGGTTACCTTCTCTCAGATTACTACAGCTTGCGCCAAGTTAGTATAAAACTAGCTAGCACATCTTCTGTCCCTTGTCCCCCAAGTCTCATGTTACTCTCCTAATGTAGAATACAATCCAATTTTAAAAGTTTCCAGTCTTAAAAAATTCCATTGTTTTAGAAGTTCAAAGTCTCTGAACTATGAACTCCTATAAGATCAAAACAACTTGCATACTCCAACATAAAATGGCATGGAATAAACATTCCAGGTTCAAAATGAAACTATCAAGAGCATGGAAAGGAATAATCAAACTAAAACCTCAACTCCAACAGGGCTAATACCAAATCCTGCCGTCCCACGTCTAGCTTCTGGGGCCCCTGATGAAATCGGCTGGGCTCCAAAGGGTTCAGGCAGCCTCATTCGCTCAGCCCTTCCACTGTGGCACACACAGCTTCCCTCTCAGGCTTAGGCCAGATCCACTTCATGCCTGTGGCTCTTCCTCGAACATGTCCGGTGATCCTGGCATCCCCAACACTCTGAGGTCTCTACCACAGCTTCACACAGTGGTCCCTGAGGGCTTGCATCTCTGTGGGGACCTCAACCCTGCCACACAGTGCCTGACCTCAGCCGCGCTCCATCACCCCTTCCTTCATGTGTCTGTTATACCTTTAAAACCAATGCCACATAGACACAGCCACCTTCTGGAGATGTAGACTGCCCCATGAACCACAGCTGTATCAGCTTCTGTGTGCTGACTGAGGAAACACTTTTCCCTGGGTCCCAATGCAGACACCAGGTTTCTCTTTCATGGTGTGGAGCTCTGTAACAGCCACAGCTGCTCTGTTGTCTGTCCTTCGTTGTCAAAAACTTGAAGCTTGTCCACACACCTTTCTGACAAATAGTTCGTCATCTTTAAATTCAACTTGGCTCAAAATCTCTGGACACTGGCAAAATGAAGCCAGATTTTTGCTAAAACATTCCAGGACTGTGCCTGGTTCAGTTACTGACCGTTCTTGTTCTTGGAGGTCTCAGGAGCGAGGCCTGGGTGGCTGGAGATAAGGGTAAATAAGCTGTTGACTGGTCTAGTGGCTAATAAGAGGTGAGAGCATACATGTGAAAAACTGAGAAGGAAATAGACCGTTTATTTCCTTAGGTGTGTGCAAGTAGATTGCTATCTGTAAATGAAGCTAATGGTCTGCAGACGCCCAAATGGCCTGCAGAAGATGTGCTAAAGGGGCAGTAGGCTGTCGAAAGTTCCGTTAGCTCTGCTGGAAAGGCTCCGCCCTGCCTAGCCACAGTTCCCAGTTATGGCAGGGCCATTGCCAGACTGTATGAAGCACCTAGGGCTGATAGGACTCAGAAAGAACAAGCCCGAATTTTCAGTACCAATGGGCAAATCACATACAGTGTAAATGAGCAGCCCTAGCAAAATGAACAATTTCTCCAGACCACGGTGTGTGCCAGGAATGCAAAGGTTCAGATCAGAAAATCTAGTTGCTGGAAGAGAACTAGGTAACTCCCATACAGGCTGGCTGGACACATGTTCAGTGAAGTCTACCATTTGCTGGGGGGAGGGATGAAATGGTCTCACTGTGTACAGTCTGGCCTCCACCTTAACCATTCTCTTGCCTCAAATGGGATTACAGGTGTGGGCTACCAGGCGTGCCTGGCTGAAAATGACGTTTTAAAATGAGAATAGATGAATGTGTCCAAGGGAGATTGCCAGGGGAGTCCCGCTGAAGTCAGGAGTGCCAGCACTCAGCTGACTAGTTCCCTTAATGCCCACTGTCTGAATGAGGAACGTGGAGGGACACAGGGCCATCTGTACCACAGCACACAAAGCCACAAGAAGACGGGTTGGTGGGAGTGGGTCACAGGGTGTCTGAGCCTATGATGCTGTTAGCAGGACATGCACGGAGGCATCCAGCAGTTGAACTTGCTGCTTCTAATTGTCCAGGGCCAGTGGGGGGTGACAGCGGCAGAGGAAGAGGAGGAGAACCGGAGGATCCGAGAATTCCAGGACTCCATACCAAAAATGTGTTCACAGTTGCGAATATTGACACACTTCTACCAGGTGCGTACAGTACAAGCCACGGTGCCCCCTTCCATGACTGGCTTGCTTTCAGAGGTTAGAGATGTGGCTCATCCTTGTCACATGAGCAGCATCCAGGATGGAGTGTCTCGGGAGCTGGTGGTCCCCCTGAGGATTCATCCTCGCTGGGCTCTCCTCAGGGCAGCTGTATAGCTGGGATGAGAGCCTCGATGGAAGATCGGCACTGGGGACCTGTGACTTCTCATGCTCCTCAGAGTGACTGCACTGAGCCTTGGGTGGTGCAGGCCGAGTGTGGCCTTGTTGAGAGATCGAAACCGTGAATAGTCACAATGACTTTGTTAAATCAACATCTGACAGAACTTGTGTCCTACATGAAGGCTGCTTTCACAGTGGTGTGGAGCCCAGTAATGGTTTTGAGCTAGGATCTGTTCCCCCTGTAGAGTGATGACTGAGCATGCATTTGTGAGCCAGTGAGATGTGAGAGAGAACAGGGGGACCCTGAGTTCTGTGCTCATCACAGAGTAAGATGCTTTAGCATCCATGACTGTTTATTCCTGTAGTGTGAGTGCAGAGGGATGTCAGCAGGGCAGTTGCTCTTACACGGAATGTATGCATTGCCTGTCTAACTATACAGGCAGGGGCTCCTGATGGGAGCGGCACAGGCTGAGTGAGTTCCTGCTGGAGGCTCATGGGTACAGTGCGCTGGGAGGGCTGCACGTGGACAGGGTTCCGACTGACTCTGCTGCGTTTCACCCTAGGGTGTTGTCCAGCAGTTTCTGGTGTTGCTGACCACCAGCTCCGATGAAAGTCTCCGCTTCCTCAGCTTCAGGTTGGACTTCAATGAACATTACAAAGCCAGAGAACCCAGGCTCCGGGTTTCTCTGGGCAGTAGGGGGCGGCGCAGTTCCCACACGTGAGGCTTGGCGGGGTTATTAGATGCCCGCTCAAGCCAGACCCTCCAGGCAGCAGGGAGCTGCAGGTGCCCCCTGTCTGCACACAGGCCACAGTGTTTCAGCACTCCGTCTGCTGGAAGAAGTCTCATTACCCACTGGACTTGAGTGTAATGTCACCGAGTTCAGCAGGCTGCTCACCTACAATGTAGTCTTCGTAGTTGAGAGATGCTGTGATGTGTTGGAGCATCTTATTTCCACCATGTAATTTATATTTGTCACTTTAAACAACAACAGCAACAGTTTCTTGCTACAAAAAACTAGGGCAGTGGTGTGTTCCTAAACTAAGAGTAATGTCACGCTATTTTCTACCATCTTCTGTAGAGACAATTTTTGTTACCATGGTCACACTAAGTTGAAACATGTCTCTAGGAACAGGAAATATGTAAATGTCTTACTTTGGTTTCAGTGTTTAAGACACTAGCCTGCGTGAGGACATCGACACCCAAGCGTCGCCTTCACACCCTTGTTCTTACTTTCTCTTCCAAAGTTTACATTTTGATATTTAGTTTGCTATGTCAAATAACTTGTAAAACAGTACAGAAGAACAGGAGCCATGTGGAGAGGGGTGTCCTGGGCTAGCACAGCCCAGCTGTGCAGACCACCAGCTGAGCACTGGGTACGAGTGAAGCAAGGCGGAAGTGTTTTATTTTCAAAATTCCGATAAGTGTTGGAAAGAAACCAGCTTGGATATTGGCGGGTTCCCTTCTTGCCTATTTTTTCATTGTGAATATTTATATACTACTGACCAGATGATGGAGGGACCTGTTTTTTTGTAAAAATGTCCTATCCAGTCACATAATTATGCCTTTTTTATGTTGCATAAGTGAGAACTTAGAGAATTAAAGACCATTATCTTTCAGATGTTTTGCCTGTTTCTTGAGTAGTCTGGGAAAACTGTCCGCTTCCTGGGTCCGTGAGTTGGAACTGGTGGAATTTGGTTGACTGTGTTCCGGTACATGTGCAGTTTAATTTGTGAAACTCATATACCAACCACTTGGAGTGCAGATCTTGAGGGAGAGGAAGCAAGCATTGCTGTGCACTGGACCCTCCCACCAGCTAACAGCACAGCCTGCCCTCTTTAAAGTTCCGGGGCACTAGAGTCCTGGCATCACAGCAGCGAATTCACGGTGAAGGCCAGGAGTTCTTAGGACATGGCTTTAACATAATCTTACCATAAAAGTTTACAGATGTAAAGCTGGGTGTAGAGGTGCATGCCTGTGACCTCTACCTGGGTGGCCGGGCCAGGAGGACCAAGAGTTCAAGGTCATCCTTTGCTACACAGGGATTCATAAGCCCCCTTGCCCCAAAAAATTTCATAAAATCAGAGCTTTGAAACAAGTTTCCACATTGCACGACATTGCAGCAGTTCTGATGTATGCTCTATTCTCAAGAAAGATTTCCAGTGTCATTTGATCATGGGCACTGCTTTTGTCTTGTCTGGTCCCAGTTCCCCCAGGGTTAATCCTCTGGAGGAACCCCACATCCTACTCTTGAGTGGCTCCATTCTCAGGGGCAACTGAGTAGGAAGAGGCTGGCTGGCCTGGGCCTCACTGTGCCCTGCCAGGCTTTCCCGTGACTGCTGCCCCCTGAGAGCTGAAGGAGCACACCCCTTCATCCAGAGAGGGATTTGCGGGAGAGGGGGGTCCATTTTCCTTGGGACACAAACACAGCTGCCAGTGCCCTCATGGTGGCATGGCAGGGAGATAGCTGTGCATCAGGCATAAGGAAAAGAATCTGCCAATCTTACGTATGGCAGATGGCACAGCGAGTGAGCCCCTGGGCAGATACTCTGAAAAACATGAAAACACTGTACCCGCCTCTCCTGGGTAGATGCTGCAAATGATGTTTTGACAGTGAATGAGGAGATAAACACCTCTCAAAAGACGTGCATCTGTGAGAAAACATTTTGAAAATGGATTTTCAGAAATGTTATAAAATTTTATGATTTCGTTGGTAAGGATGATGTGTGTTTCTGCTTTTCTTTGTCTAAAACACTTAAGAAATACCACAATGTGGTTTTAAAACTCATTCAAAATGTTCAAGGCAATGAGTTTTGGTAGCTACCCCTACTTATCAAAATTTACAGTTCAGCACATTTACTCCAGAGCGTAGGTATTTACTGGTCTGACTTCAACACCAGCCCGGCAGGGCTGGCGGTGTGGCTGGACACCTGACAGAGTTTGGAGTATAACGGATGGTGCGTGTCTCTGTCCTGCCTTCTGTCCAGCAGTCCTTCTGGGGACCGTTGTTTTCAGGTATCACAGTCATAGGAGCCGAGTAGAACAACTCACTGACTGAAGTATGACTTCCCATCATGCAATGCAGCATTAAGCCAAGTGTGGCAGAAGCAGGAAAGCCTCTTCAGGCTCAGCTCTTGCTGACGTCACTGTACCCATCTTCCTGTAAGGAAGAAACAGTGGCTGCTAACATGATTTCAAATCTTATCCTCGGCCTCTGGAAGTTTGTTTTAGTTCAGTAGCGTGGGTAACATTCAGACAGTTCTCTTTGCTCCCCTCCCCTCCCTTGCCCTCCCCTGGGTAACATTCAGACAGTTCTCTTTGCAACCCATCCCCACGCTCACACCTCGAACTCACTGCCACACTTTCTGCCTGGGCCTCCCTGTGCTGGGATTGTAGGTGAGAGCCCTGGCTTCACATTTTTAAAATCAGTTTCAGGGTTGGGATCCTCAGAAGATGGTATTCTGTGTCCCACAGGAGCGGCAGGGCTCGGCAGGGCTCGGCAGGGCTCGGGCAGGAGATAGCCAGAAGCATGTGGTACCCTCCCTATGCTGTGCAGCCTGAGCAGAGCTGTCCCCGAGGAGCCCTTTCTTGGCATCACCCAGATGCTCCTTGAGGGACAGATGGGGTGATGACTGCCAGGGAGCTGAGGGACATTTGGGTGGTGGTACCCATTGTGTGTCCCTGCCAGAAGAGAGCATCCAAACCTATGCAGGATGCCCATGCAGTCGGCCTTCGTTCCAACCCTGGGATCGTCCAAGGATGCTATATGGGAACCCCAGTGTTCTTAGGAGGCAGTATTGATCCACTTGCCCTGTGGGGATAATTCATTGAGATTTTGCTAAGTTCGAGCCGTCAGACTATGACTGCTCCTGCCAGCAGCCCCTGCAGAGCCTGTGTGTTGACCAAGGATTGGGCCAGGCCCTGGGGCCAGGTGTGTAGATACTCTTTCCCCAGCAAGGTGTTGCTCCTCGGTTTTATATTATCTATTGGATTGGTAATGTTTTAGATACATTAAATATTACAGGCTCCTACCTTTTGTTTCTTTTCGCATTTTAAATGATGGCCGCTGGATGGCGCAGGCGTCATGGCTGCCGTCTGCGGCTTGTGCCACCCAGGCTTTGCGCAGCGACCCCTGACCTCACCATGGCTTGTGTGCCACAGGCAGAGTGGACAGACAAGGACCGTTTTGGAAGCAACACACTCCTTTTCTTATCCTAGCTTCTCTGTTTCTACCTTCTTGGCAAAGTTCAGGGTGTGGGAGAAGCCTCAGGCCAGACTCTGGGAGAGGCCTGCCATCTGCCTCCCCAATCTCCACCTCCTTGGTCAGCAGGACTCTGCATTTACTTGGGGCCTAAGGAGTTCATGTAAGACCCTGCAGGAGAGTGCTTGGTAGAACATCTACACACATCTCTAATACCCTCCACTAGTTTTGATCTGCTCAGTACCCTCCCCACTAGACAGTGAGGAGATGTTCCGGCTCATAGTGTGTAGGCTTGGCATTGGGAGACGCTTAGCAGATATCTCCTGAGCCTGATAGCACTTCTTAACAGAACCTGGGCTGAGCTGATGAGACCAGTGGGCCTACACTGAGGACATCCTGGAAATGCGGTTTGAGGAACGCTGTTGAGCTTGGCGGCCTCTGCGTCTCATGCGGAGGTGAGAGCGTCCAGGAACGTGTTGTAGAGAGCATCCACCACCTCAAACCCTTGTTTTCTCATCTGCGACACTAGACCTCAGGTGGCTGGTCCTCTCGGCTGAAGCACTTGGAATGGATGTCTGGGCAGGCAGGCTTTGAGATTGCATTTGGTTGAACTTATTTTCACGGGGGGCAGCAGGAGAGTGCCCACACAGATGAGACTGTCACCTCTCCAGTTGGCTCCCCTCACAGTGCCTTAATCTGAATGCACTTGGTATGGTGGTGTTTTGCGCCCATGTGCCCAGTCCCATACATGTGGTGCATGTATCCATCCTGTCCAGGCAGGGCTGGACAGTCACAGGAGCTGGTGGACCTGGTGTTGATCTCTTTTCCTCTGTGTGCAAGAGAACCTCTTTGGGCTTCCGTCCATCCTGTGTTGGTGTGATCAGACAGGAGGAAGGGCTGCAGGTTAGCCCCGCAGTACAGCAGGGCTCAGAGAAGTCACAGGTGGTGTCCCTGAGGCAGGGGTGTGGAGGGCGGTGATGGCCTTTGGGTTCTATGTGGTGAACATAGAACATGGGGAACACAGAGATGATCTACCCACTGGGCAAGCCAGGCCGTGCCAGGGGGCTTTTTTTTGCTGGAGATGAAATTGGGATATGTTGACCTGGCCCTTGGGGAAACATTTGGAAGTGGTGTACAATACAGAAAGGGGGGGGGGCGGAGTGCAATGGCGGAGAAGTGGGTGACTCCAGGCTGAGATGGGGCCATTCACTTCCTAGCCTGGGGTCTGGGCTTCAAGTAGGGATCCGAGTTACCATAGCCTGGGTTCTGTCCTGTGGCGACCTGCTTTGTATGTTTGGTACAAATGTGAGTATGGACAGCGTGCAGGTTAACTTTAGACAGTGGACTGTCCCCAAGGGAGCGTTTCTTCCATGTCTGGTCTCACCCCTGGCTATGGAGTCATGACAAACAGTGTGGTACCAGCCCAGAACAGCCACAGATCCATGGGATGGAATAGAAGACGTGATGGAATAGAAGACGCAGACTCACACCCACGCAGCTGTAGCCCCTGAGTTTTGGCAGCGGCTAAAACAATATACATTGGCAAAAAGGGCATCTTCAACATGTAACGCTGGCAAAACCGGATGTGACAGTCAATTCCAGGTGAAATAAAGACTTTAATGTCTGAACTCTAAAACTGCCTGAGGAAAAAGAAAACTCTTTAAGATCTCAGCACCGGCACTTTCCGGACAGGACTCTAGTCACTCAAGAAATCCCTCCACGGTGGAGTTGCATGGAATTAGAAGGCTTTGGCACAGCACAGGAAACAAGTGAAGAGCAGCACCTTCAAAACAGGAGATTTCTGCTAGCTATACGTCTACAGAGGACTGACATCCAACATATGCTAAGAACTCAAAACGACAGCAAAAACAACTCAATAAGAAATAGGCTAAGGAAGTGCTCTCATAAGGAGATACATAAACGGTCAACCGACATGAGAGATGCTCAGCCTCACTACCGTCAGAGGATAAAGGCAGAGGGATGTTGAGGTCCTGTCTGTCTCACTGGGCAGAATGGCAGCCATTAGGAAAACAGCAAATGCTGATGGAGATGTGGACAAAGGGAACCATCCACTCTTCCAGCTACTCTGGAAATCGTGGTAGAGCCTCCTCAAGATGCCAAAAGAAGACCCACCATATGACCCAGATAGGCCACTCCAGGTCTGCACATCCCAGAGACACCTGCACGTCAGTGTTTAAAACTCTTCACAGTAGCGGAAGTGATGGAACCAACACAGGGCCGTGGGGGACACAGACACGGTGGAACTTGGCCATGAAGAATTAAGTTATGCTGTTGTAGGAAAGTGGATGCAACAGGAGATAATCACATTGAACAAATTAAGCCTGTCTCAGGACAAATACATAATGTGGTTTGGTTTTGTTTCTCTCTAGACTTTAAAGACACATAAAATCAGAGATT